TTTGTGATATTTTAGTTGTTGCTGGAGAGGTGTGGAGAGGAAAGTAAGGTTTTCGGCACTTTTGCGGTGTCGTTTTTATTATAAAAGTTATGATTGGTGGCCGTGTCGAGGGGTGTGCGCGATCGAGCAGTTTCCGCATGCACTTCGATTGCGTGGGCGCTGCTTTTTGGAAATTAAGGTCTCGCACTGCTACTGCTCCGCATTATTCTTGTTTCCCCTTTCTACTCATCGCCACGTCTACCTCTATATATCAAAAGTGTTCATATCCTGAGAAAAACGACCCAAACTTTTCGATTTTTACTCAAATATCAAAATTTAATTATGTTTTCATCAAAAAATATTGTACCTCCAGTTTAACATATTTCTATGTATTTTTATTAATAATAATTAAAACTACACAAAAAGTAGTTTTTTAAACATGGACAGCCATGGCCGTGATTAAAATACTTTAGTCACGGGTTTTAGTCACGGGGTGAAGCTTGCGCCTACACATTTGCCCACGGTAAACAAAATTTAATTTTTAATGAGAAAATATTCATTAAAAACTTATTTTATATAATTTTTCATGTTTTTCATTTATTTTAAAATTATATGGATGTGAATATTATACTTTATCCACACAATATAATACTAATAATTAAAAATACATATTGACTAATTTTTTTATTAAAATTTAATTGCAAATTCTTTTTTTGCACAAAAAACTAGTTTAAAACATAGTAGTATATAATAAAAGCCGAAAAATATGAAAAGTTTTCCATTCGGCTATTGATTTATTGGTTTAATTACAGACACGGCCGAAGCGTTGAGTATTATCCGGAAAAAGCGAAGCAGGAATGTAATTCGAAATGGAAAAACTTTTCGTGCCCACATAGCAACGCTTTGCGGCGCGCCTATAAATCCAAAAGTACAACCTGCATCATTCGAGATATTGCAAAGCTGTGCACACAACTGAATCAAAACCGTGCACCGCGCGCACGATGATGATTTAAGCTTCGATATGCAATAACTTTCAAAACGCGCACTATTAAAATCTAACATTTCAATTTCCACGTCTTTCAAACGCAATCCCGCGCCGAACATGTTCACGTAGCATTTTAAGGTTATGCGCAATTCAGTTTAGATTTGAATGTCTTTATTTCGATTTTATTTTTGGGCACTCACCCAAGTGCACACTCTCGTCGCGCGTGGTATTCTTTTTACTGCGACGTTTCCGCGCACATCGGCAGCATATAAAAATATCAATCATTCAAAATCGCAACATGAATACACATGGAAATCCGCTTGACGTCGGCCTGAATGGAAGTGACGTCGGGAACGCGACGTGATAGAAAATGGAAAAACTTATTGACGAAAACTATCAACTTATCAACTTGCATTTGGTATTTTATTCCGTCACAGACAGAATAAATCTGTTTTTTTTTTCTCTTTTGTGGAATTTTTTGGTCTAAAAATCAATTTAACCTGAAAATTTTTTTGCGTTTAATTTTTGGCCGCTTGAAAATACTGCTCACAAAGCATGATAACATCTCCCTGGAGGCGGCAAGGAACGCTCCAGTTATAATTAAGACTCGTTAGCGTCCGTTTGTTGTTGCTATTTTCGTAGCGAATGCTTCTGGTGCGCTAAACAACGATAATTGAAATATATACAGCAAAAAATGGCAGACCGCGGAAACTTTCCGACAACTTAAAGTTAAATTAAAACTTTTTCGGGGTGCACAGAAGAAAATTAAAAGCATGTTTCACTCATTTTCATTTTTCCTCATTTTCTTTCTTCTACGCTACCACGAATGCATCGCGAATTAGTTATTAGCGCATTTATTTTCTATTTCAACTGGTGGAGTACTTTGACAAGTCAAAGTATGCAACATTTGCGATTTAGTGCCTCTGTGGGTCAACGTTTTCAGTTCCTCGCTGTGCTGTGTTGGCGCTCGTTTGTGAAAATAAACTTTACAGCAGTAATTAAATTTTTAATTTTGCTCATAAATTACTGGCCGGTTGGTCGGATGCTCAGCGGAAAATAAAAATAAGAATATAAATTAAAGGACATCAGATGTACGAGTAGTATACGCAGATGGAATTAAAACGTACGAATTTAATGAAAAAATTAAAATTTCATGTTTGCCATGTGGGTATTACCTTTGCGAAAGTTTTATTAGTTTTCTCATGAGTGGGAGATTAATTAATATTGAAATTGAGAAAAAATGCAATAAATCTTTTATTTTAATGAAAGTAATAATGTTTAGAAAGTTTATTTATAATGAAATTATTAATTATTCAAAATCTTTATTATTTAAAACAAAAACTAGGTTTTAATCACCTATAATTTGAAAGTTATAAAATTTTTAATTTTACGCTGTTTTGAGGAAAATTTTATTTTACGTTTTTCCTTGTATATCAAATCTTTAACCCATAAAAATTCAAAATTAATACCATTTAACCGGGCAAAAATTTTCCTTCTAATGAATCCAACACCAATATTTTATCATTATAGACAATTAAGTTATGATCAAAAAACTTTTGAAAAAATTAGCAAAATTCACATTACAGCAAAATATCAATTTACGTTTTTCCTTATATATCAAAAACTGTTGTACTTCCATATTCAAAATTAGTACCATTTAATCTTTCAAAAATTCTCTTTTATACGACATTATAACCAATATTTTATCCTTATAAACAATTGAGTTATCACTAAAAAACTTATGAAAAATGTGAAAAAAACATTCATAATACATCAATATTTGTATATTTTTTAGTATATTTTGTATATTTTTAGGTTAAAAAGTTTACTGATTTGATGGTTGTAGTTTATTGTGTTGCCTATATTATATTTATAACCGATACTTTCAACTTGACAGTTTTAAGTTTTGTTCTTTCTAAAACACATGTAATTGAACAAAAACTTTCAAAACTTTCAAGTTTGCAAAAGTGAGAAGTTTGTAAAGTAAATCAACACTACAGCGCCCCAAAAAAGCCAGTAAAACCAGTAAGAACTGTGAAATTGCTCCCTGAAAACTGTTTCAACTTCTGTAGCTTACGGCAACAATATTCTTCTCAATGTTTGTTTCTTTCACTCGCTGCAACAGTGTAGTTGATTAAATAACGCCGGAAATTGAAGCGAGATTAAAAGCGATACAAAGCCGCCTCATATACCTATATACTATATACGTATTCAAATCGTGCAAATCCTGAAAATGCGAATTTGTTCACTGCGAACGAGAATTTGATTTATACTTTAATCCTTGCACGCCGTTGGAAATGCACTGTTTGTGAGATTTTTAAGTTCGCCATTGTGTTGTGTCCGGGGTCGTCGGGCAGGCACTGAAAGCTTTAAAGACAAGAGGCAGCTGCGGAAAAATTTATGTAACAAGTTACGTCCTAGGACACGCCGCCATTGTGTGTTGTCTGGGCGCTTCAACTCGACTGGGCTCTGTTTACTTTCGAGCTGCGAGTGTGACGTTCACCAGCGAACCGTAAAATTAATTCCGACACGGCGTAAAAATAAAAGTTGAAGAGATGAAAACATCAAAACAAGTTTTCGCAAGAAAAAATATAATTTCTAGCTGAGCAGACTGTCAGGAACAAGTATTAAGTTATGCCACACAAATTGCACGATAGCTGACTATAGGCAAAATGGCGCTTGTCAATTAAATCTAAGAAACAGCATTGTTCAAGGACAAAGGTTTACTAGCAGCAAAGTAGATTTATAACAGGAAGAAATGAACAAAGCGAAGGCGCAGGCGAAGGCGCACGAGGAAGGAACATTATTATGTACCCTTATTTGATATTCCGGCCTGCGGAAGAATAAAAGTTAATTTGCGGCGTTCGTAACTTTGTCGGTTTCTTTTCGGCGCGGAGATGCCGAAGTAGGCGTATTATACGCATTATAAATAGGCATGCCGAGGGCTTTCCAAGGCGTCCAACTCACTCCTGCTTGTTTTATGCATTGTGACAAAAAGATATAATTTTCCGAAGGACAAATGCCAACAAATTTATATTTATACTCTGTTGATGGCGGGAAATTAATCTAGATTATATGGAATTAGTAGAAGTTGTTTGATTGGCGTCTGAATTTTCATACATTAAGAAATTTGTTCGGAATTTTTAAAGTTTAAAAAACTAAGAGGGAAGAAAATAGAATGTTGTGTGGGGAAGATGTGGTGCCCGAGGTGGAAAAATAGAACAAAGAGAAACGCGAAAAACGAGCGAAACTTTTCTGCAAGCTCAAAGATTTATTACAGAGTTTCAAGAGGAAAAAAACATTGGACACGAAAATGCGGAATTAAAATGTTCGTTTTTAAATTTTAACGAAAATAATTATATTGATAAGAGTTATGAATGGTGAAATTATTGGTTTATGAAAATATATATTATTTAAAGTAGAAATTAAGTTTATACCAATAATAGTTTGCGAGTAATAGTGATTTTTAATATTGGTGCAATTTTTGGAAAATTTTAATTTAAGTTTTCCCTTGTATAGGAAAAACTACATAAGCTAGAAAATAAAAATTAATACCATTTAATCTTACAATAATTTCCAGTTCAATGAATTATTCACTAAGTTTATATTATTATTAACAATTAAGTTACGACTAAAAAACTTTTGAAAAAATGAGTAAAATTCACATAAAGACAAAATCTCTATTTACGTTTTCCTTTGTATTATAAAAACGTCAATACCTACAAACACAAAATTAATACTATTTAATCTTTCAGAAATTCTCTCTTGGTTGAACTTATCATTAATAATTTATCGTTATAAACAATTAAATTATGACAAAAAACTTTTGAAAATTTGAATAAAATTCTCAAAAAAGCAAAATCTCAATTTACGTTTTCCCTTGTATAATAAAAACGTCAAAACATATAAACTCAAAATTTATACCATATAATCTTTAAAAACTTCTCTTTCTAACAAATAAATTATGAATATTTTATCTTTATAAACAATTAAGTTACGATCAAAAAACCATTGGAAAATGAGTAAAAAACACACATAATATATCAATATTTGTATAATTTTCTGTTTATCATTCACAATATCATACAGTGACATACATATTCAATAAACTAACACGTTTCAATTAACTACAATATGTTTATGCAAAGTTAATACAAATAATAAAGTTAAAAAAACAAAAAAATATTGTAAAAAAAGCAGGCAGTATAGTGGTACATCAATAATCATAAATTAAACCTCTAGATAAATACAAATCCGTTATCTGCTTGTATTTGAACATATGAAAACAGTTTGTGTCATTATGAAAGAAAAAAACGCGACCGGATGTCAAGTTACAACACGCAGCGCGGAAGTAAAAAAACGGAAGTCCATTGCACTCATCCGTGTCAAACCAAAATGAGAATGAGAATAGGAATGAATTTGATCATTTTCAGCATGATTTTAATTTTTGTTATAAAAAAAATAATCTGATTCAGTTAAGTAACCGGAAATAAATTAAAAATTACTTATTATTACCACATTAAGATAGCGAGAATAAAAATATTACTCAATGATATATCATTACAATTAGAGTATAAGTGACCTTGCGACTGTGAGAGAAAAATGCAGCTTATTTTTGGCCTTAATTTAAAATAAATACACCGACACGTCTATTGTCTCGGCGTTTTCGGAACGTTTTACGACGAATTGTGGCTAACCTTGTTGGTAATTTAGTTTTTTTAGTTTTCTGTGTTAATATCTCGTGCTTAACCTGATGGTGAATTTGTTTGTTGTGGGCTATCGGTGACTGAATTGTCGTCCATTGATGAGGGTCTGAGTGTTGTACTGGTGCTGGATGGGCGGCCATAGAGGTAGCTAGTGCCTCGGTAGCCATTATCATAGGGGTACGCGTTGTATGGGTCCCGACCGCGTGATCCGCTATAACCTCCATAACCTCCTCCGTAGCTGCCGTAGCCACTGCTGCCATAACCTCCGTAACTACCGCCGTATCCGCCGCCATAACCGCCGTATCTGTAATCGCGCATTTTTTCTTTTTAAATTAAATTATTAAATATTACCGTGATTCTGACATGCATTCTATTGATAGGCGAAAGGAAGCAAAGAATTGAAGTTCAAGAAAAATGATTTTAAGAAAAAGTGTGTGATGTGTGATGTATTCATGTAATATGTCCACATTTGTAATAAAATCATGTTTAATGTTTGCCCTGTGTAACTTATCCACTTATTGGTCAATCCACCGATTCGCAACTATTCTATAAATAATAATATTTGTTTATTGTTTCCAATTCTCCAACATGCAAACTATAAGAAGTAAAAATATAAAAAATAAAAACATCTCCTAATACCTGATGAAGGTGCATTTGCTGCAATTATTGTTTGAGAGTATTTGTGGTTGTTGTTTGTGATAATATTTGAAGATTTGTAAGATTTGCGAGATCAAGATTCGATTACTTTGCGTTTTGCATTGCTATGGTTTGTACATTATTGCGTTGCAAATACTAAAGGTGGAGGTTTGCACAATTGTTTCGCGTTGGTTTTGATTTTTTGATTTGTTTTGGTTTTTTGCTTTAAGAAATTATGTGCAAGACGTTGCCTGTACTTTTTTCGTACCTGTCCATCGGCTGACCTGAGGGTTTCTGATTTCTACAAATTGGTAACAAACAAAAAACAAACGCATAATTATAATATTTACTAGATCTACGTAAATTTGCTATTCTATATGCATGCGATATATTTTTGCGTTTTTTCTTAATATACAGTGTGTTTTTTGCAATTTTTGCTTGGAAATTTATTAAAAATATTGAGAATAGAATTTTTAATATTTCAGTACAAGTTTAGTACCATGGATGAAGTAATCTTGGAGTTTTAAGGAAAAATTTTTTTTGTTTTTTTAGGGAAAAATAAGGAAATTGAGGAAAATAGGAATTGTAGGCGTGTTTTGTGTAAGTGGACTACTCGTACCTGTCAATTGGTGGATCTAGGGGTTTCTGATTTCTGCAAAAAGCAGAAATTTCCAGTAAAATTTAGTGTTTTAACAAAAAAAAAAATTCTAGTGGCACAAAAGTTGACACCTTAACTTAACCTCAACTTTCCGCCCTTTTAATGGCTTTAATATTTCGTCAAGTTTTTTAATATCCTCGTTCATTTTTTCTTTTTTCTTTACTTTTCACTCTTCACACTTTTTCAGGTGGAAAAGTTTGAAAACCGCACTTTGTAATCTTTTCACCTCGCTCGATTCATTACGAAAAACTTAAAAACTTTTTATCATAAATCAATTCCCATTTAGAATTTCGAAATTTCGCAATAAAACTTTCAGTTTTCAGTTTTACGCAAACTGATTTCAATTTAAACACGTGCATAATTACGTTCCGGGTTAAGTAGCACGTGACAACTTCCTCCGGAAGTGCTCAACTCCCAAACACACATTTGTAAATTAATATTGTTACAAATGCCCGTCTCATTGTTTGCGCAATACGCATACAACATCACGCAGTGAAGGCACAATGACAAATAATGATGATTTTCACGTTAAAAATAACAAAAAATAAATAAAAGTTAATTTGGTTGCATACCTATCATATCCTCTATCACGATAGTAATAATCATCTCCACCTCGTCCGTAATTGTACCCACTCGCATATCCACCCCGATCATATCCACGACTTATATCATCATAGGGCCTGCTGCTCCCACGGAAATCATAACCTCGATTATCATAACCAATACCACGGTCTTGGTAGCGATCACGATCGTATCGATCGTAACGATCATATCTATCCCGGTCATATCTATCGCGATCATATCGATCATAACCACGATCACGACTGTCATAACGATCGTAGCGATCGTATTTGTCATATCGATCATAGTCATAATCTGGATAGCGACTGCGGTAGCGATCGTCACTACCGCCATACCGTGAGCGAGAGTCGTAACGATCGTAGTAGTCGCCGTAACCACAACGACTGCATCGTTTCTCCACGCCACTGCTTTGTTCACTAGCGGCTTGTCGTGCCTCCGGCGACTCTTCGGGTTTCAAGGAGCGACTGCTGGGTCCGGAGGCGGCTGCGTCTGAATCGGCGCTTGCATAACGCGATAGAAAATATTTATTGTCACGCGGCACTCGTGATAATTCTTTGTCTGTGTCTTCCAGCGCGCTACTAACGCCCTCTAGTGATTTGGCTGCGTCAACATCATCGACTGCTTTCGATGCGGAAAATATAGATTTCACTGATGCGCTGTTGATGAGTGTAGCGCAGGCTAATAGAAGCAAAAATCGCGTTGATTCTCGATGATCTAATAGAAACTTCACCACAAAAATACAAAAATTAACCTGGAATATTAAATTTAATTAAGTTAAAAAGCACTTACCATTTTTATTATTTTTCACAACTGTAACATTTAAAACTGTCCACTTTTATAAAAATTCCTTTAGCACACTAGTTTTTAAACACACTTTTTTCGAAGTTTTTTTGAATTGTGTTCTGCAGGTGAGAGCGCGATGAGTGAATGCGTTGATCAAATCGCCGTCGGTTTTATACTCATCTCCGGTCGGCTGCTTTTCGGACTCCCACATAGGTAGACATGTGGGGCGTAAAACGTGAAACAGTTTCATCGAATTGGCAAAAATCTACGCTCGCCGCACAGAGGACAGAGGACAGCGCGGTGAAATAACCTTGTGAATGGGAATAATGCGCTTGTAATAGACAGCGATACAAAAAAGGCAAAAAAATAAAAACCTTAAACATTTTAAACACACTGTATTTAATAATATTAATAATGCACACATTGTTCTAGTAATTTAATGTTTGGACATCGTAAAACTCACCGGGTGTGTTTTAACACTTGTATGACAGCGGAATATTAAATTAGGCAACCAAATATACAATATACTTGACATGGCAGGAAGTATAACTTTGACATTGTGAGGTTATGCCTATGCTTTATGCTTTAATTGAAATATAAAACATAAAATAGGAAATTAAGGCCTTTGATCGATTTAATAATGGGCCATAGCACAATTCGTAGTTTAGGTACGCACGAAAATTGGATAATGAAAGAGGCGACGCAATTAAAACGGTAGTTTTTAAAACACAATTCAAAAAATCGGTAAATTTCTCTAATTTCCTGTACACGCATCGCATGTGCCAAAATAAAATAATTATAAAGAGTGTATTTAGAAAACAAAAACGAATCGAATTCATTTAGAAGATGATTTCGTGCAACCTACTTTTAACGTTTTTTTTCTTCTTTATTTTTTAGATGTTAGCATAATTGTTTTGCCAATTATCTAAGACATTAAACATTAACTACTTTCTTCTTTTATATCTGTCACAAATTGCGTGCGAAATCTATAAATTAACTAATTATTTATTATTACTCATAAAATTTAGCACAGTGTTCTTATTTTGTCGATTTGCGTTCATAAAAAGTAAATTTTTAAATTAATGTGTGTTTTTTAGTATACTCGATCTTGATATACATGATCTTCAAAGGAAACTCGCATATAAAAACAAACGTTGCCAATGCAAGTCCACTAAAATAATAAACAAACAATTGTTCATAGTGGTTGAGTGTCAAAACAACTCTTTGATCGTTTTTATCCCCTACAGACGCCATTAATGTATAATTTAAATTCACTTGTTTAATATCCTTCCAAAATTTATCAACGAAACCATACTCGAAAACGTGCAGCAACCAAACATACACCGAATCAGTCATAATGTGATTTTTACGTAGAATAACCGCAGGATGCCATGTTAATCTCACAGACGATTGAAATCGATACATTGATGCGTATTCAGCGGGCTGCATAGCCAGTGTACTGTCAAAAGTAATGAATGCCATGCGTTTCGAGTTATACAAAATGTGTTTCACAAGTTGCGGCTCAGAACCGTTGAATATTTTCATAGTTTTCGCAAAAACTAAACTATTTGCTACTATTTTTGACATTTCAGAATATCCTTCCATCTGAGCCGTGTATCTTATTTGTGTCTTGTCGTGGTACAACATCTCCATGCTTTTAAATACTGGTTCTGTTTCGGTTTTAGTGTAGATGTTACTTAATCCACCTAAGTATACAGCGTTTACGTTGATACAATAAAACATGAAACAAATATACAGTATTTTCGTGGATAAATTGGTAGGTATTATACGAAAAGATGATCCTGTAGTTATGGCAACGCTGTAAATTAGGAAGAAACCGTCTATTACCAATCCGCCATCTTGAAATGCATAAATTGATATGTAGACAACTATTGTAACAGCAATAAGCACTAAAATAACTCGCCATGTTACCGGGTGAAACACTTTTAAAAGATTTCGATAGATTTTTATAGATTTTGCTTTACGCATTGCAAAATAATAAGTATCAATGTAAAACGATGGCCCCCAGTGTATATTATCATTTAAACCGTTCTTCCAGTCATGTATATAAGTCCTAGATAATATCCCATCAATTTGGTTATGTTTTAACATATTTAGAGGACAATTTAAAGTCCCTAAAGTTAAAAACTCTTTTGTGCAGGTTTCATCATCGATGTAGACAAATTTAAGGTTAGAAACAGATGAAATAAGGTTTAAAACGTATGAATATAGCGATGTCTGACTCAACGGTTGATCAAAATACGGCTCAGCATGCGGTGTCCATAAAAATTTATAATCATCATTTCGTAAATCATTTAAATTATGATTTTCATCATTATATATCAAAAAATGAAAGTTTTTAGTGTTTAATTCCATAAAAACACGTTGGATTATTTTGAGGTTAGAAAAAATATTCATATTCTCACTCAAAATGATAAGATACACATTTGAGGTTATGTTTACCGATGAATATAGCATATAGCAAACATAGGTTAACTGTTTATCATTATTGATTGTATAAATAACCAATGTTTTGTGTTTTGTGTTATCTGTAGAGTTGTAGTCATTGTTTTCGGCAACGATTGCAGCATTACGATCTGTTGGCAAGCTGTAAATGGTATTGCTATTGCAGTTGGCGAAATTTCCACGGTTGTCATGACAACACAACTCGGCCATCTTCTTACAGCTGGAACTTGCGACCGCGCCGCGTGCGGAAAAGTTATACGTGAATAATGAATCTAAATTTTCATGTATATCCCACATGTGTAACAATACGTTGTTAGTATTTGCATAATAGATGCCTGTGTAAATATTTATCGCGTTTATTAAGTTGATTTCGGCTTGTTTCAGGCAACATAACCTAGAAATTATTACAAGTAATGAATACATGTTGTTGGTTGTTGGTGTGATATTGAAAAGATGAAGATAAAGGAAATGAGTTCTATATTGTTTTATATAGTGAGCTGAATGATGATTATAAAGCAATTTAATATTTAATGTAAGGTTAAATCTACTATTGTACGTTTGGTGCTTATATAGATGATATTATTCCATTAAGCACCGCGATGACTGCGATGACAGATTGTTTAAGCAATTTGCTTATTTCGTTTCGTTTGTTCGCTGGCTTCTTGCGTGAAGACATTAACGTCGGAAAAAAAAACTATATACATAATAGAAACAGTAGCAGAAGATAATTTACGTAATGGCTATTCTAAAATGAGTTAAAATGATTTTTGTTCTTGTTTGCGTGTTGATTGTTTAAGTTTATGTTCAAGTTAAAGCTAAAGCCGCATTAGTCATGTGCTTCCTCTTTTTCTATCTGTGACTCATTTACTTTTATAAAAGTAAATCGATTTTATGGAATTCAACACCAAAAACTATCATTTTGGGATATAAAATAATGAAATTAACGATTTAGATAATTTATTATATTTTGATTAATTATTAGGTCAGATATCTCTATATTCATTTGCTCCTAACCTAATTTTAATTGTTTCTAACCTTAAATTTGTCAACATCGATGATGAAACCTGAACAAAAGAGTTTTTAACTTTAGGGACTTTAAATTGTCCTCTAAATATGTTAAAACATAATAAAATTGATGGGATATTATCTAGAACTTATATACATGAATGGAAGAATGGTTTAAATGATGATATACACTGGGGGCCATCTTTTTTCATTGATACTTATTGTTTTGCAATGCGTAAAGCAAAATCTATAAAAATCTATCGAAATCTTTTAAAAGTGTTTCACCCGGTAACATGGCGAGTTATTTTAGTGCTTATTTCTGTTACAATGGTTGTCTACATATGAATTTATGCATTTCAAGATGGTGGATTGGTAATAGACGGTTTCTTCCTAATTTACAGCGTTGCAATAGCTACAGGATCATCTTTTCGTATAATACCTACGAATTTATCCACGAAAATACTTTATATTTGTTACATGTTTTGTTGTATCAACATAAACGCTGTATATTTAGGTGGATTAAGTAACATTTACACTAAAACCAAAACAGAACCGGCTTTTGAAAGCATGGAGATATTGTACCACGACAAGACACAAATAAGATACACGGCTCAGATGGAAGAATATTCTGGAATGGCGAAAATGGTATCATATAGTTTAGTTTTTGTGAAAACTGTGACAATATTCAACAATTCCGAACCGCAATATGTGAAACATATTTTGTGTCACTCAAAATGCACGGCGTTGTTAACTTTTGACAGTACTGTGGCTATTTCAAGGTGGCGGATTGGTAATAAGAGGATTTTCCTTAATATACAGCGTTGCAATATCTGCAGGATTTTCTTTCCGTATAATTTATGTTTATGTTAGTGTCTTTTCTTAATTATTTTCTATATTGGATTAATTTAGTTCTAAAAAAGTAAAATAAAGGCACATAAAATAAATTGGATTTAATTTTAATGAAAGTGGAGTTGAGTGCAAATTTGTAAATATAAAGTTTTTGTTTTTGTTGTGAACAGCCAAATGGGGTTGGTGCTGTTAGAAACTCGAGATGTAACCACAACTAGACGAAACTAAACCAACAAAAGTAACAAACCTAACGTTGGAAGTAACACTACGCAAATGCAAAAGGCAACGCAACTGTTTTGCACCTGAGAAATGAAATGAAAATCGTGAAAATTGCAGAAAACAGCAATAGTAGCAAAATTTGCTTAGATTTTCATGGATGAGAACAGTTTAATTGCTAAAAACAAAGAAAATAAAAGAAAATTTGTTTTTATTTTAAGGTTATCTTATAGTAAAGGTTATGTAGCACATTCATATAAAAAATTAATAATATATTTCTTTTAGTTTCCAAGTTATACGTGATTTTGACTTTAATTACAACATAACTGATTTTTTGCTAGTTTTAGTGAAGCTAAAAAACCACATCATTTTTTCCGCGCACAATTTGCAGTAAAAACGAAACAAAAAATTCTTTACAACGGAAGGATGTGATGAAAGTCAAACCATACCAGTGAATAACCATGAAATGTATTCATGATATTTATGCTCTAGTCGAGTATCCACTACATAAATATATTTAATTACAACCTGAAAATTTACAGTTTCAAACTAACAGTACACAAAAACAACGAAAAACAATGAAAAGTGAGTTTCACTTTTGCTTGGAAATTATTTTCGGCTTGTAACCTGTTTACATAATTTATTAACTAATAAATAAATAATTTGTGATCTTTTGTGAAAAATGTACTTAAAAGTTGGCCAACACTCGAATACAACGCAAAGAAAACCAAGAAAAAGTCTTGCGACACAATTCGCGCTGAATTTTGGCCTAGTGAGCGAAATGTAGAACGAAACAAGATTGCGATGACATCGTCGTTTTTGTTTCGTGTTTGTTTTGCGGTGTGCACAAACACGTCGAGAGCGAAAAAAGCGAAGCAATTATCGTTTAACGCACGCTGTCCGTACAAAAATCTTACGATTACGAATATACACACGATCCACGATGAAAAGTTATGTTCGCCAGCATCCGGTAGTCGCGTTTCAACGTCATACCCAATTAAATATTATCATTATCGTTATTAGTTGTGTGCTCGCGCGCTACGCGTACAACTTGCGCGCGTATTTTATTGTTGCGAGATCAATGTGCCAACAACAGACACAAAACAGATTTAGTTCCATTCGCAGAAATGGTCATTCTGATAGGATTGACACATATTTGAAAAATATGCGGAAAATAATTATAAGACAATTATATTAAGAATATTATTTTGTCATTATCCATATTGTTCATTTTCATATTTTTTTACATTTCATTTAGAAGAACGTGTTTATAAAGTATTTATTGCACACATTTCCAACCAGGAAGAAACCTTGCACAATATTATAATTATAACGTGTTTGAAGGTGAATTTTGAATAAAAAAATGTCACCGGATGTTTGATTTCTGCATCATTCATTTATTTCTTTATGAAAAATGATAAAAATCGATGCAGTGGTTCAGAAATTATAAAATTATTAAGTTTGGTGTATATTTGGTTGCGTTCTTAGTATATGATTGAATATAGAGAGAACAATGGCTCATTAAAACAGCTTGTTTTGCAATTACTTAATGCGATCTTGGCGCCCGCCGCAATTAGCTAAACATAATAAATACCAATGCAAATAAATAATTGAAACTATGATGCAATGCATTACAATTGTATTAATCGTATTAATTTGCATTTTTTTCTCTTATTTTCAACACGAAACGCACGAAATCAAGCGAAATTCTTTGTTCTTCACTGCAACAAGGTCGAGAATAACAACGCAGAGAAATTTTCGCAATCGGACAAGTTACAAGTTTCATTGTATTGTTGTTTGTGGGAAAATATTTTTGATAAATCTATTATTAAATTAAGATTTGGTATTATCTTCAAGTGGGAGATTAATTTGTGATCTAATTTTAACCCAGAGTGCTTCGCACTGTTGAATTGAATAATTTACATGTGTAATTATTCAATGATTCAATTTGTGGCTTTGCACACGCATAAATCAATAAATCTTCGACATCTATGATTTAATGATGATTGAGGTTAAGTGTTTAGCGTTTCGTCACTTTGTTACCTATGCAACCAACTTCACATTTCGGGAAATTCCTATCAAATATAAAATACAATCAGATTATTTCTTATCTAAATGTATAAATATCGACAAATTAAGTACTTGCAATATAGTAATACCTTACTACGAATCACAACTCACAACGCTGTCAGAAATGGTGCTTAAATACGTTTTTTGTGTTTTGGTTGCAATCCAGGTAAAATATTCAAGAAATCTGTTAAGTTTTAATGATTTATTGTTGAAATTGTCATAATTTAGCTCATCAATGCTGCCGTAGTCCAATCATATGACAATAAAGATACTCTGTACGAGCTTCAAGAGAAAATCTTCTTTACTGGATCGACGTGTGTAAAAAAAGGCGAAGACTTGAAAATATCTTTCCATGCCGATATTGGCCAAATCCGAGAAATTGGCGTGATAGTCGGTCAAAATGCCCTGCAAGCGTACGAAATGTATAAAAATACAACAATCAATGACCATGGCGAATGGGCACGTGAATGTTTCGATACTCCACAAATTCTACGCGACCTGAAGTCATCAGGAAAAGAACTCCTGAATGATTTCGAGAGGTGTATTGCTAATGCAACTTATCAAGTTGATAGCATTGCTTTCCAAGGCATCAAGATTAATCAGGCTGCTCACGACCAAGTTAACCATTGGGATGATGAATATTATAAATGCGATGGTGATGTCAAATGTCAAGATGGCGTTCTGGATACACTCAAAGATTTGGCAGAGAAAGTCAGTGGGGAATTGAGTCAACTCGAAGCAGATATTCAATATTTTAATAATCATGGCAGTGAAGGAATCGAAGAATGTGAAGTGGACGCTTTTAATGATTTGGGCGAAACTTTTACGGGTATTCAGGATGCTGTGGAGGCCTGTTTATCTGCACATCAGTAATTGATTGATTAAATTGATTAATAAATGATTACTAAATGAATTGATAAATCAATATGAATTTAACATTAACCTAACCTAACCTTAATTAAACGTAAGTGTATGATATTCGTTTTTGATTCAATTAAGATAAATAGAAATAGTTTTGTGGATTTTTTAATATTTTGTTGGTTTTTGTGCGGTAATAACAGGAAAATTAATAAAACTTTAGATTTTTGTTTGAAAATAAATCATGCAACGACATTTTCAGAACAAACTCTGCATAACGGTGAAATATGTGCATTTTGGTTGGTTCATATTACATCGCTTTATACAATGATGAAACATATATTTATTTCCAGTAATTTTGTCTGTTACAGATAATAATATTAGTTTAGATGTTATTGCTATTGTAATTCCCACATCCTTAAAAATTGCAATGCAAATAATTATTACTTTAGCACGATTTTAATGCAAATTTTGATGCTGTGGACTGTGCACTGTGATTTAATGCAGCATCTACTTTTGTTGAGTAAATAATTCCATGCAATAGTTTTTGTTTTTGCATAAACTGGAATAAAATTAATACACAAATCAAGGAAAACGCTGTACCCATCAAAATTTATTGTTGTCAAAGGATACCGTATTAATTAAACCATTGTAAATCGAGGGTTTGTCAAACTTGATGTGAAGAATTATTTTGATCAGTGGAGGCCTCATCAATACATCTGCATTGATCTACATTGGATTTATTTATGCTATCCTTTAACAATAAGAACCTGTCATGACAAAATCATATTCTTTGTTAATTATAAATTCAAATCAAATTATTTATTTTAATACTTACTTTATTGTTACTATTAGGCTTAAATTAGTATCAGATTGCACCTTGAGAAATCAAAGATTCTATGTGGGAATTATCACAAGAGTAAATCTATAAATTTACGCATTTTTTTTTAAATTCTTGAGTATCTATGATAGAGGTTAAGTGTTTAGAGTACGTTTATTTCTGTACCGGTGCAAGCATACTCTCTGTTTGATTTTCCCGTGATATATAAATATAACCCAAGATTATTGGATTATTTGATATCAAAATGTATAAATACAAACACTTCTCGTATTTCTTACATAGTAATATTTTACTACGATCAACTTCACTCCGAACGACTTTACAAACTTTTTCAAGATGGTGTTCAAATTCGTTTTTTGCGTTTTGCTTGCAATTCAGGTAAAAAATAAAATAAATGAAGTTGTATTCTTAATAATTTACATTAATATTGTGTATATTATTATTATTTAGCTAATCAATGCAGCTGAAGTCAAATCGTATGACAATAAAGATACTCTGGTTGAACTTGAAGAGAGAATTATGCACATTGGATCCACGAGTGTAAGAAAAGGCGAAGACTTCAAAATTTCTTTCCATGCCGATATTGGCGAAATTCGAGAAATTGGCGTGCTAGTCGGTGGAAATGCCCTGCAATCTTACGAAATTTATAAAAATAAAACTATCAATGACAATGGCGAATGGGCACGTGAATGTTTCGATACTCCGCAAATTCTACGCGACCTGAAGTCATCAGGAAAAGAACTCCTGAATGATTTCGAGAGGTGTATTGCTAATGCAACTTATCAAGTTGATAGCATTGCTTTCCAAGGCATCAAGATTAATCAGGCTGCTCACGACCAAGTTAACCATTGGGATGATGAATATTATAAATGTGGTGATGATGTCAAATGTCAAGATGGCGTTCTGGATACACTCAAAGGTCTGGCAGAGAAAGTCAGTGGGGAATTGAGTCAACTCGAAGCAGATATTCAATATTTTAATAATCAGGGCAGTGAAGGAATGGAAGAATGTGAAGTGAACGCTTTTAATGATTTGGGCGAAACTTTTACGGGTATTCAGGATGCTGTGGAGGCCTGTTTATCTGCACATCAGTAATTGATTGATTAAATTGATTAATAAATGATTACTAAATGAATTGATAAATCAATATGAATTTAACATTAACCTAACCTAACCTTAATTAAACGTATTTCAAGTGTATGATATTCGTTTTTGATTCAATTAAGACAATTAGAAATAGTTTTGTGGATTTTTTAATATTTTGTTGGTTTTTGGGCAGTAATAACAGGAAAATTATTAAAACTTTAGATTTTTGGTTGAAAATAAATCATGCAACGACATTTTCACAACAAACTCTGTGTAGGAATGTTAATACAAATAATAATAAAATGGACTTTTGGCAGTTAGATGATAATAATTTAATGAATATGAATGTGAATAACAGTTTAAATCTTCGAACAACTCCCGCACACCCGACGTCTAAAACTTCTAAATGATAACTGTTTAAAAGGGCGTCTGTCGTCTTTATAGCCCTAATGCACTTCAAGTGTGCTCTTCCGTCTGAAAGGCTCTCAAATGTTAGCCGTTCGATCCTACATAACTCGGCCATCCTGGAGGTGTTCGTCCTCGAACATGACTCGTCTTTGTCGTCTCTAGTGGTCCGAGGTGGTCAACGTGTAAAGTCTTAAGCGGCATATCTTCTTTTGACAATTGGTTTAAACATCTTTTCTTTCTCATCTTTCTGTTTAATAAAATGCATTTATCGCAGCAATTTATTACTCTTTCTAGCTTTTCCTCCAAGCGTTTAATAAAAATTCTTCCTCGATTACCTCTTTACATTTAGGTACCCCAAAATGTCCTCTTTCATGAACCTTCTCAATAATTTCTGTTTCCATTTCTTCGGGAACGACTAACAGCTCTCTGCCATTCTTTATCTCTATCAGCTGGTAATCTTCACTCATATTTCGAACAACTTCGTTCATCTTCACATCTTTTGTCTCTGGCAATATCTCATCTTGTTCCTCTGCTTCGATCGACATAATTGGCAATACATCGTCGTCTAACGTGTCAAACGTTATCTTTCCTCGTTTAATCGTCATGTTCACGTCCTTTAGAAATTCTCGCCCTAATATAACGTCAAAGTTCTTTTCGTTTGCAACGTAGAATTTACTAGCGTACGTCTTTCCGTCTATCGTCATCGGTTATGTGATATGACCATCTGGTTTTGTCATCCATCCTCCGAAACCTTTAAAATCTTTGTAGTCCCGTTCAGTTTCGGACTGCCTACCTGCTTGTAAATTCTGGACGTCATAATGTTGACTGCGGCGCCTGTGTCAATCAACGCTTCGCACTTAATTTCTCCCATCTTTACTTCTTTACAAACTGCTCAGCATCGCACAAAACAGTTTGGACCTCCACAACTTGACAATCATTCGCTTTGTGCCCAAACACATTACACTTAAAGCACTTTGGTTCTTTGTGCTTGCATCTTGCTGAAATGTGTCCAACTTCTCCACAGTTGTAGCATGCGTTCTTTATCGTCTTATCTTCCGTCGTATTTATCGTCGTACGTCTGTTTTCTGTCTTTAAGAGCTGTTTTGTCTCTTCCGTCTTATTGCATAGTTTCTCATATATTTTGAGCCTTTCCTTGAACTCCTTAAATTTCTTGCAGCCGTACAGCAGTGTAAGGTTTGGCCCGTCTGGCAATCCCTCAATCACATACTGCATAACCGACTGCTTATCAAGGTTACCCTTATACCCCATTTCTTTCATCACAATCAAATACTCTTGGACTGATTCCCTTGGAGTATTTTACGGCTCATCATCTTCTTGTGAACATCTGCACCACTTAACTGGTCGCCAAATTCATCTTTTAATGCGTCTTTTAAATTCCGCCAACTGTTTAGTCCAATTTCACTCTGGACAAACTTCTTAGCTGGGCCTTTCAAACATTTTTTTGCAAAAATCAGCTTTTGTAAAGCATTGAGGTTTAACATGTCCGCAATTTCTTCGTACTCTTCGGTCCATGTCTCAATACCATACGCGTCTTCGCCCGTAAACGGTCTAACCATATCCTCAACGTCTCGAAAGGATAAAGTAAACTTTGACTTCGATGTGGATCCTCGTGGTTCGAATTCATCGTCGTCCTCGTATCGTATTCTCAATTTCTTCTTCTCCTCGCAGACTTTGGTGCTGCTCTTCTTACGTCTTTGGCTTCTTCTTGATTGATCGTCGTCTTTAATTTTGGCACGGCTATCCAAATTTTTTCGATCACAAGAACGAAGCATTTTTTGTCTTAAATGTTGTAAAGTCACGTCGTCGTCAGCATCTTCATCGTCGTCGTTGTCGTCTTTCCCGTCGTCGTCGTCGTCGTTGTCGTCTTTCCCGTCGTCGTCGTCATTGTTTTCTTCATCGTCGTCGTCCTCCTCGTCGTTTGAGTCATCTTCGGGTAGCTGGTACGTCTTCAAGTTGTTCAAGTCTCTGAGCACTTCACACACGCGATCACACATCTCGTCTTTATTTCCACTGTCGTCAATGTCTAACATGTTGCACGCGGTTGTTAACTTCTTCACTGAGAATTTCTCGTAAATTCTCCTTCGTAATTGTTCATACTCTTCTGAGTTTTTGGTGAAACCGAAACCCGAAAAAGTGCGTACAAATTTACGATTCATTCGCGGCGCAACAACATCAAATATCACTTCATGCATCAATCTCAGTGAACTGGCGGGTGCATGAACAATCTGTTTCGCGGCACGCGGATTGTCGTGTAAACAGTTGATCTCCATCTTTTCCTCACTTTTTGCTCACGGCTGCAACTTTATGCTTCTTTACGTCTTACGTCACTGTTAATCGTCGTTATCGTCTAGGTTCACTCACACACTCAATGTTCATAGAAAGTCTTTCGGTTGAGCCTTCAGATTTTGCAGCAAGTCCTTAGGTTACACCTCTAGATTTCGTTGTAAGTCCTTCGGTTGAGCCTTCAGATTTTGTAGCCAGTCCTTAGATTTAGCCTCCAGATGTTGTAGCAAGTCCTTAGGTTGAGCCAATGTTAATACAAATAATAATAAAATGGACTTTTGGCAGTTAGATGATAATAATTTAATGAATATGAATATGAATAACAGTAAAATCGGCAAAAATATCAAAATTACACAAAATAAAGTCAGTTAAATCTTCGAACAACTCCCGCACACCAGACCTCTAAAACTTCTAAATGATAACTGTTTAAAAGGGTGTCTGTCGTCTTTATAGCCCTAATGCACTTCAAGTGTGCTCTTCCGTCTGAAAGGCTCTCAAATGTTAGCCGTTCGATCCTACATCTGCATACCGGTGAAATTTGTGCATTTTGGTTGGTTTATATTACATCGCTTTATACAATGATGAAACATATATTTATTTCCAGTAATTTTGTCTGTTACAGATAATATTAGTTTAGATGTTATTGCTATTGTAATTCCCACATCCTTAAAAATTGCAATGCAAATATTTATTACTTTAGCACGATTTTAATGCACATTTTATGCTGTGCACTGTGCACTGTGATCTAATTCAGCATATATTTTTGTTAAGTAAATAAAAATTTATTGTTTCTAAAGGATACCGTATTAATTAAACCATTGCAAATCAATGCAAGGGTTTGTCAAATTTGTTGCAAAGAACTATTTTGACCAGTGAAGGTCTCATCAATACATCTGCATTGATCTACATTGGATTTATTTATGCTATCCTTTAACAATAAGAACCTGTCATGACAAAATCATATTCTTTGTTAATTATAAATTCAAATCAAATTATTTATTTTAATACTTACTTTATTGTTACTATTAGGCTTAAATTAGAATCAGATTGCACCTTGAGAAATCAACGATTCCACGTGGGAATTATCACAAGCGTAAATCTATCAATTTACGTATTGTCTTTAAACTCTTGAGTATCTATGATAGAGGTTAAGTGTTTAGAGTACGGTTATTTCCGTAGCATACTCTCTGTTTGGTTTTCCCGTGATATATAAAATAACCCAAGATTATTGGATTATTTGATATCAAAATGTATAAATACCAACACTTCTCGTATTTCTTACATAGTAATATTTTACTACGATCAACTTCACTACGAACAACTTTACGAACTTCTTCAAGATGGTGTTCAAATACGTTTTTTGCGTTTTGCTTTCAATTCAGGTAAAAAAATAAATAAATGAAGTTGTATTCTTAATAATTTACATTAATATTGTGTATATTATTATTATTTAGCTAATCAATGCAGCTGTAGTCAAATCGTATGACAATAAAGATACTCTGGTTGAACTTGAAGAGAGAATCATGCACATTGGATCTACAAGTGTAAGAAAAGGCGAGGACTTCAAAATTTCTTTCCATTACAATACCGCCGAAATAAGAAACACGGGCGTAGGAGTCGGTGCAGCTGTCTTGGTATTTTACGAAATTTACAAAAATGGTACAATCGATGAAAAAGGTGAATGGGCACGTGAATGTTTCGAAATTCCACCAATTCTACACGACGTGAAGGCAGCAAGAAAAGAACTACTGAATGATTTCGAGAGATGTATTGCTAATGCAACTTATCAAGTTGATAGCATTGCTATCAAAGGCATCAGGATTAATCAAGATGCACATGACCAAGTTAGCCATTGGGATGGGGAATATTTGAAATGCGATGGTGATGTCACATGCCAAGATGGCGTTCTGGATACACTCAAAGGTCTGGCTGAGAAATTCAGTGATGAATTGAGTCAATTCGAAGAAGCTATTCTTAATTTTCATACTCATGACATAGATGCAGTCGGAATTTGTGTACGTGCTGCTTATACAGATTTGAATGACAATTCGGTGGAAATTCTTAATGTTATTTGGAACTGTTTATCTGAACATCAGTAATTGATTGATAAATAAATAGATAAAGTAACTAATGGGTATAAATTGTTGAGTTAATATTTAATGTTATTCAGTAGTGTTTTGCACACGTCTCTATCCTCACCTTAAAAAAATGCATTTCAAGTGTCTGATATTTGTTTTCGCTACAATTCAGGTAAGTTTATGGAATTTTTAAAAACTTTTACCTATAAAAATCATAAAAATACAGTATAGTCTCCTTATAACGTCAAAATGTTTACAATTTTGTTGATTTATATTAAGTTCTTCTGTGTAACGACGAAAAATATTTTCATTTTTAGTGAATTGTGACCTAGAATATTTTTTAAAGGCATGACAAACTAGATTTTATTAAGTTTACAATAAAATAACGTAATTTAGATCTATACGTGTTGTTGCAAAGAGGCTACACTATATTTTTGATAAAATTATATCATTAATATTTTTTTTTAATTATTTTATGTTTTAGCTTGTTCATTCCGGCGTCATCAGAAGTCATGAGGCAGAATTTTTCGTACTTCTAGATAAAATCCAACTTATTGGTTCCCAAAGTGCACAAAAGAACGATTATGTCATTTCGGTTTTCGATGAATACACGAATCGCTTACAAGACTTTGCACAATCGTTTGTAAACGTATCCGTTGAGGCATTTGAATTAGCAAAGCAACAGAGCAATGAAGACTATGGTAATTGGACAGCGGTTTGTTACGATTCCGAGGCAGATAACCTCACCAAAGCCAACGATCAATTATTCGCTACTTTGAACGGCTGCATTGCAACGACGACCATTGACAAAGATGCAGTTTTACAAGCTGGTGACGAGATAACCGGACTGGCTAATGAGAAATTGATCAATGAACTGACTGGATTCTGGAATTACTGTGATGGAGACGAGAAATGTCAAGAACCTGTTTATACCTATACTATACTGATCGAGCAAAGTTTATCGAAAAAATTATCGGAGTATGAATTATCAGTGGCATATTTCACTCATGATGGGATAAGAAATTTGGGAATTTGCGCATATACTGGATTTGATGAGGAACATGGTGAGGTTTTGGGATTACTTTGGGATCGCATCAATACATGCCTTCTTAATGGTGAACCAAAACAATAAATGCTTGACTTACCTTGATTTTTTCGGGAATTTTTGGAAAATTTCAATAAAAAAAACAAAAATATATAAAATTTTCATTTTATTGTATTTCATACCATAATAAGAATAATAATAATCAAGTTTGATATAGTCTATGATAACAACAAACGCAACAAACTAAAACCTACAACATTAAAGCTCAAATAATTATTTTCGGTTGTTTTCAAGTAGGGACACATTGTATATAACAAGCCTAGCTAATCATATGTATACTTCATATCATAATTTCGTAATGTACCGTATTTACACTATGAAAAAAACAAAAAAAGCTATTCGATGTTCAGTTATTGTTGTCAAGCACATATCAAGGACATCCAATGAAATCAATATCTTAATTAATGTCTACTTGAACAGTGAAAACGTCGGTAGTATTATTCGTAGTGTAATAACCTACAAAATTGATGTTTATTAGCATAATGAATAAGATGTTGGATTGTCAGTTTATTCGAGTTGTCAAAATCAATATTTTACGATGTGATGTGATTAAAATTCATCTACGAATTGATTATTCATCAGGCGCGGCGTTCATCAGGTCGACTTGCTCTTGCTCTTTGTCTTTTCGTCGGCCATTGTTCGCTTGTTCGGCATCGGTTGGTATTTCGTCGATGGGCTATTCGCGGCGATATCATCGCGAAATGCGAGGAAACCGAGTTGGGCATGCGATGCTTCATTCAGGGCACGTGACCGTATACAGGCCCTATATTGATCTGCTGATAATTTTTGTCCTCCGGGTCCTCCAGAGCAGACCTAACATAAAAATAACCTCAAAATCTTTCAATAACTACATAAAAATTAATTTCTTATACCTTAGGATGCCATATGTGGAAGATCCCTGGATCCGTCGCCCTTATGACCTTCATTTGACTCCGGACATATTTCCTATAGAGCATAACATCCTCCCCGCCCCAACCCACAATGTCCTCATCAAATCCACGCACTTTCAGAAAGTCCGAACGATACTGACACGTCATACCATAACCAAAATCACGCCAGAAACCAGTGTCTCGCGAGATGACCAGCTGGTCAGTTTCTGAAGGTACCTCACGTCCTTGTAAGGTGTACACCACATTTGGGTTGTACAAACTGAAGACAACCGGGTAGTAGACTTTTTTACCAGGTTGAGTATTCCAGCGACATCTGTCGAGGAATCGCGCACTAAACACTACATCAACATCGCACATGAACAACAGTACGTCCTTTTTATCATGCGGTTCCACTGCGAGGGTACCCGATGTGGTGAACTCACTCCACGCGCGTTCCGCACCCACACGCAGACCTTTACCACGACTGAATGTTTCATTCAACGCTAACAAGCGTAGATTCTGCGCGTTACCACCACTGTTCTTGGTCATTAACACCCGCGACATTATATTCCTTGCTTCCGATAGACCCTCCTCACCAAAGTAGACCACTGTCAGATGAACACGTCTGTCATTCTTCAAACCTATTTTCACGAATTTATCCATGAAGCTCTGAAAGGTTGCCGTTCGTCCCGAAAGTGGTAGGATTATATGAATCAACTCCTTTTCCTTGGGTCCTGCTAAGGAGGAAGTACTGATGGTTTGTAGAGGTGCAAACGGACGTACCACCACTACCTTTACAAACCCGTTGAGGTGATGGTGGTCTGTGGCTTTGTTCTTGTTCCGGAAGTATAATTCATATTGGGTGCCAGTTGTGGGTTCATTCCGGTAGAGACCCTCTAGAAAATCATCTAGGACGTATTTATTCCCGAAATTTTTTGGATCTTTCCCGGAAGTAGGTCCCGGAAGTGTTTGATTTTTATTGAGGGTATCCAGGGCTTTGTTCAAAGCTTCCAGGAGGTCTTTACGCTTGAACCCTATTGGTTTTTCTACGACACGTTTACCAAGACCTAAATCTATCGGGTATACCCGTGAGTAGGTGAAATGATTGAAGGGAATCAATTCATATTCGTTATTTAGGGGTAAACCACGTAACGTTTCGGATTGGAGAACTTGTCTGCGGATGTATTGAGCGCATTCGTTGTTTGTCAAAGTTGAGGGTAAAGTTGGCGAAGATAGGTTTAGATTGATAGCGAATGTTTGCGTTTCGGGCTGTTGATTCTGCTGTTGGATCTGTGCACTATTACTGCCACTGTCTGCAACCATACATACACATGTGCATAACTTATACTATTTTAACCTACGAGTTGAATTCTTACTTGCAGTTAACTGTAAAAGTTGATGTTTTAATGATCGTATTTCAGACGTGAGACGTTCAACTTCCAGGCGATTTTCTTCTTCTCTTTGTTGCAGTAATTGTTGATAACTTTGTTGACTATCTTGCTGATTGATATCGTCACTTGTGGAGCCTGAAATAATGAAAACACTTGAAACTACTTGAAAACCCAGACGAAATTAACGTTTTTTAAAAAGTCATTTTACTCTACTCTACTACAATTGATAACAACACAAATAAGTCACTTGAGTTTTACAAATTACCGATTACTCACATGATGCGTGATATTACCAGTTTTAAAGTGACAAATAAAACTCTTCAAATTATTGCTTTAAATGAATAAATTTCTGTAAGCACATTGTATATAAATAACATCTCTTCGTATACTTTGATTCATTGTGTTAAAAACGGTCAAAATGCATATATCAACATATTTATTCATCTTCATAACCTTAGTTATATTCCAGGTAAAGTAATTTTTATTTGTAAACTTGGTTGCAAACATTATATAATTACATATTTTAGTTTTCAAGCGCAAGAAATTATCGCCATGAAAACATAATCAAACACAGATTAACCGAAGCCCGTCTAGTTCTGGAAACAGTCAAAACTCGCCATTTTGCAATTTTACTACCACTAGAGGACGCATTCATCCGTAACTTTACCGCGATCGTCGAACATGGCGACTTTGTCACTTCGTATCTCATCCGCAACGCTTACTTTGAAATCGAAAACGTCGAATTCGAAGCTTCAAAGCGCGGAATTCACGTTGACACGTGCGTTGCTAAGATTATGCAGATTATGTCGACGTTATCAAAGGCAACGGCTGATGACATTAACGCTTCGAAAGTTGACTTTATCGCAAAGTATCACCACATGTACGAACATTTTGTACACAAAGCAACTCTCATTGAAAACGAATTAAAAGACGCGGAAAGATTATTAATTGACTGCCATCTGGAGAAAGGTTGTTTCGAGATTGTCTTAGTACAAATTGACGACGTGGAAAAGTTTATTAATGTCGGATATGTCAACGAGTTTAAGCAACAAATTGAAGGGTTTATGATGAAAATGCAACAGCAGTATCATCATATTCAAGGGTTTTATCTATCGCTGTATGAAAGTATTAGAAACAGTGAGGAGGACTTTCGTAATTGTTATAAACAAGTATTTAATTACTAGATAATCGATTTTTGTGATTTACGATTAGTTAGCAACAATATTTAGTCATTTAAGGTGAATCAAAGTTGAAGTGTTTGTATCGCGATAATTGATATTAATTATTAATTAAATAGTAGATTGTTTAATATAAAAGCCGTGGATTTTAGAAATCTCATTGTAATCAAAACAAAACTTGATCACAATGGGTCTTAAATTATTAACTGTCACTTTGGTAGCTCTTCTATCCCTTCAGGTAAACATTTTCTAATTAAAAAATAATAATTTTTAATAATATTTGTCCGTTTAGGGAATTGTTGAAGCAAAATACATTTCCCAACACAAAGAAGAAGTAATCATTGAAGATGTAGGCAAAATTGTTGATGAAATCAAAGGATCCGTTAGTAAACTCATCGTTGAAAGCATCGCAACTGTCAAGAAAACCTCCGATCAAGTCTCTGTCATTGGCCAACAAGAATTGAACAAGTCCATGAAGCAAATTCAACAGATCAAAGAAGAAGCACTTGCAGAAATCAAACATTTTGAAACCCTAGCCGAGAAATTAGGTTATGATGTCAGCAGCTGTATCCAGGAGCAATTGCCCCGTCTTGAGGCTCTTGCCCAACAAGCCCAGGAAGGCGTCTCTGTATGTCTTGCTGATATGATTGCTCAATTCACTAAGATGTATGAAGATCTCCTTGATGCTGCTAACAACGCCTATGACAATATCTTCGCTTTGGTTCAAAAGTATGATGAATGTCAAGATTGGGAATGCCGAGGTGAAACCGCTCAGGAATTAGTCCAGGAAATGATGAGGACCAGTTCTGAGGTTAGGATTATTGTCGACAGGGCTTTGAGACAAATGCAACAACAGATCCCGGCTACCGTCGAGTGCATGCAAGGTGAAATTGCAACTTTGAAGGCCGAATTAGCTCCCATCGTCGCTGACATCAAGGCATGCATTGCTGCATCTGCAAAAACTCAAATGTCAACTAAGAATATTGAAGAAGATATTGCCAAGTTGATTGCCCAGGTGAAGCAGGCTTTGAAAGATCTCATCGAGGGAGGTGTTGCTGCTTTGAAAGAAGCACGCGATGCTATTGTAGAATTCGCCCAGAAACTCCTTGCTGACACCCTGGCTAAAATTCAAGAATTAGCTGCTAAGTTACATGAAGATATCGAAGCAATCCGGGAGGAAGCTGCTCAATTAGGTATTGATATCCAAGAATGCATTGATAAAATCCTTCCCAGGTTGCAAGAATTAATCTTGGAGACTCAGACTGGTGTTAAGGGATGCGTAGAAACCACCTTGGGATCTGTTTCGGAGATTTATGAGAAAGTGGTTGCTCTTGTTGAGGAAGTTGAGGGAGAAGTTGTTACTTTGATTGAAACCATCAAAGGTTGCGAAAATGTTGAATGTTATGTAGAAACTGCTAAGAATTTCGCGCAGGTATTGAAGCGTATTGCTGGAGAAGTCAGTGAATTGGTTTCTAGCTCAACTGAAGAAATCAAGGAAGCTATGGGAGAATTGGTGACCTGTATTGAACCAATCAACACTAACTACATCAATGGCCTCAACGAACTTAGCGCAGAAGTTCGCCAATGTTTGAAAGAATAATTTTAAGGTTAATTGTACATTGTATCAATAAACATCTTTTCTAAATATATCCTGATATCTTTATTATCTATTTTGATAAAGTGTTTGTCTCTGTAAATCTACATCAGTCAAACGTAGAATTTTCTAGAATAAACATGTTTACCAAATGTATTTTTTGCATCTTTGTGATTTTTAGCAGGATAACAGTAAGTTACCATTTCTAAGTCTCCAAATTCTAAGTCCTCAGTTAATATTTTCGTAGATTATTTACACAGCTGATAATACAAATAAAAATGATGTCCTTGAGAAAATCTCCGATATAAATTTCACAATAACTTCATCACTAGATCCACTTCTAGAAGAAATCAATCAATTGGTCGATGAATTTATGGAAAATACCAGAGAACTTTTAGATAACAAGGACACCTGCCTCTACTTGAACATTCTAAGTCCTCTTTACGAAAAAATTGACACCGAAAAACACCTGGCTAATGAAACTGGTATTAATATAGAAAAATGTGTGGAGGTAGTCTTAGAAAAAATGGATCAACTACCAAAAGATACAGAAAAAGACATAGATTCAACACTACTACAATTTACATTGAAGTATTACTTAGAATACGCAGCAATCGAGCTTAAAATTGCTTCAGCAAAAAATAAACTTACAGAATATTACGAAGCTGTTACAGAATGTCCAGAAGATGACTCCGAATGTATTTCTACAATTGGTCAAGATGCAGATTTACTTGATGAAAACATTTCGGGATTGATTTTGGATATCCACGATTACATTTCGGAAATTTTAGACAAAATTTCACAGAATTTAAGTCTATTTGAAGAATTGTATGATATTTTATTTGTAGAATTTGCAACTGTTGAAGAAGAGTTTATTTCCTGCTGTAGAAACTCAACCAATTAAACTGTGTCCAATTTAATGGCGGTAATTAAAGCGTGGCACAATTCTATCATTAATTCTACGAGTGTTGAAATGAAGAGCAAACGATTTAAACTTTACTACTAGTACTAGTATATTATCCCTGTCATAAACTGTAATGATTTTACAATCCCAATTCTGTACTCTACTTCTAATCAATATAATATTTATGTGAGTTGTGGAATGTGAATACAAAATTCTAAAATTCTGAGATTAAACCTCGTGTTGGAATGCGAAGCGAAACATTTGACAAAACTTACAACGTTCGCACGTAAATTGCTCCCGTATAAGATCTTTTCCCTCCTCGTCGGATGCCTCCTCTAAAGTTCATTCATTTCATCCGCAGTCATGGCAGTAAATTTCACGCTGGTTGCAATTTAATGCCAGCTCGCGTGTTACTTAAACTGGAAACACACATCTACGTGTTTGTCATGCTGTTATACGTTGCAGGCATGCGAATCGTCCTCGCATGTTGGCGCCCCTTCTCTGTTTTCATGCTTTTCCTCCCCTCGACGATATTGAAGGCTGAAGATTCGCAGCTTTTGGTTGGTGTGATGCCCGATTTCGATAGGCAGCACACACAACACCACCGCCTCGCCGCATTAACATATGTACATAATGCGCATGCATAATAAGCACCATATTAGCGTCCTGGCACAAAGGGTTAAAGGATGAACCTGTGAAGACGGAGGGTTGATGATACACTTATATTTGCTACGAGATGATTGTATAGATTCATGGATAGTCTTCACTCTATACTCTATGCGCGGATAATGATGATGAGAGGCGAATTTGTCTGTGTTATTCAAATATAGAGGGTGCGATATGCGGGTCTGCTGCGAACTGATTATGTCAATTGACGTCTTCTTTGTTTGGTTATCAAGGTTATTATAGGTTAGAAACTTGGTATAGTTTGTTACCCGCGTTGGGTGAAAAACGTGCGCAACCCACTGTACGAATGCAAATTCACAACAGCGGGTGAAATGTGTCGCACGCGCTCGACAAACGAACACGAACCTATTAGCACGCTATTGATCCAAACAAACATCGAGGGAATTTTTGTTCAACTAGCATACAAAATTCCCTATGATTTTTGACCAGATTTTACCCGTTACTTTTTAAAAGCCAAAAAACCCAAAATCTACTTGACTGATAAGTAAATTATCATCTCGTATTTATTATTTCATTATGTTTAAGAGGCTGTTATATAAAAGTGGAAGAGTCTGGATGATTTTAGTTGTCTCCGACGATTTACTATCAAGTAACAAAAACAAAATGGCGAAACTTTTGCTTATTTTTGCTTTGTGCCTTAGTGTAAGTAATATTTTTGTCATAAAACTAACTATTCATAATAATTACTTTAATTATTTTTTTATAGACTACTTTGGCTGTACCAAATCTTAAATTCTCTCGCAGCCATCTTGCGTTGACACGTGTAGCTTCCCAACTTAAGTCTGTTGATGCAGGCTTTGAAACTTGTCTCCAATTAATGATTAGCATTATTTATGATGCTCTTTTGGTCCACTTCGATCAACTACTGAATTGCACCCACGACCTAGTTCAAGAAGTCCAAGCCATTGAGGAAGAAATTGCTCAAACCACTGAGCTTACCACCATTGACTTTCTAGCTAAGGTTCGTGTCTTTGAGGCTTGTGGTAGTGACGAAGCATGTAGAGCAGCCGCCATGAAAGATATTGTTGAAGTTATTGCTGGATACATCCAGGATGTGAATGAAATTTCTAATAGACATGAGACTAGTTTGTTGGAGAAATTCCCCGAAGCTGCTAAATGCATTGATAATGATAACTTAGCATTGATTGATGCTATCAAAACGGCCGGTAGTAACTTTGTCGCCTGTGTCACTGAAGGCAACAGTGTGTAATATTTTAAATATTTTATTAAATAAAAACACTATGAATCTATAACACAATTGATTTTGATTAATAGTATATTCAGTAAGAAGTGACTAAACGAGGGCATAACATTCTTTAGCAACGTTTAGCCGCGAGGTGCTTACACTATTTTTTCCACTGCTACTCTAGTTCCACGTTGCCGTTTTTGTATTTCAACTTTTGTATTTCAAATCATCGAAATTTTCTCGCACACTTAGAGCCCCCGCACACTACAAACTTTTTATCGGCCGATAGTTTGGTCGGGCTTATAATCAGTACGAAGATGTATGCAAGTCCGCATACTACAACGATTTTGTATCGGCCGATAAATAAGTTTGATAGGCTACCCAACTGCGTTCAAACTAAACTATCGGCCAACCATGCCAACTATCGGCCGACTGCGATATCAGTATGGAGCTCGTCGCAAGCGCGCACACCGACCGATCGTTTAGTCGGCCCTCTCGACCAAGCGTTCAGTTCGCTCCGTGTTTTGGCGCTAGTTTTTGAAACTACTTATGGTCATCCGATAAAATCTAGTACTTTTGAATGCATCGTGTAAAATTTTCCATTTAATAATCTATCACTGTGGATGGGATGCACCCAATACTCTCGGACTCTCTTCTGGATTTTTCTCCTCCATAGCATCAGAGCAATTATAATATTTCTGGACAATATTGTACTACTAGTAACTTTCATTATGCGACTGCTCTCTTCAACGGTAGCTGACAAAGTAAAAACAGTCGGCCGACTGTTGTCTATTGTGCGCACTCAGCACAAACCCAACTGTTTAGTTGGCGTAGTGTGCGCGCTCACAGCCCGACCCGATCAAAATATCGGCCGATAAAAAGTTGGTGGTCTGCGGGGACTCTTATACAAACAGTAAGGTTATAAATGCCATGCTGCGCATAGGCCCGTGTGACGCTTCGGTTCATATCATACTCTTCCAATACGAGCTGCAGCACCGCCTGCTTTGACGTGTTTGACTGACGTCGCATGTCATTTTTTACCGCCTTGTGCTGCTCCGTATGCAAATGCGCAGGTGCTTGCTCGATCCCGTGCATAATGCAAGTGCATAATGAATATTATGTACGGCTTGGCCCTCCGTATATAAAGTACTACTTTTTGTGTCTAAAAACCGTGGAAACTGGCGCTTTATAAGTGGCAGTAGAAAAAAATTATTATTCTGATGTTGTTTGGCTTTGAACTATACTTTCAACCAATGAAATGATGCCCTTTTGACCAACTACGATCAAATGCTGGATTGCATTGTGACGCAGCCGAGACTTCACTCAGGAACTACTAGCTCTTGAGGAAGAAATTGTTCAAAGCACTGAGGTGGCTTCTTTTGAAATTTACGCTAAGCTTCGTTATTATGAGGCTTGTGGAAGTGACGAAGCCTGTCAAACAGCCGCCATGAAAGATATTGTTGATTTTATTGCTGCATTCGTGCAGGAATTGAAAGATATTGTTGATAAACATCTGACTATTTTGGTGGGTAAATTACCTGAAGAAGTTGAATGCTTTAATGATATCAACTTAGCATTTGTTGTTGCTATCAAAAAGGCTGGTAGTGACTTTATTGCCTGCATCAATGAACCCGACAATGTGTAATATTTTAAATATTTTATCAAATAAAAACACTATTCATCTATAATACAATTAATTTTGATTAAAATTATTAATCAGATGTTGTTTAGGAAATATGTAATTAAATATTCAAGTGACTTTTGTTGAAGCAACGTGGAAATATTCCGTTATATTTTTCTGACCGGATTTGATGGAGGTTATCCAATATCATTCTAGACATATTTTTGAATTTTTGTCATCATTATTCATATCTGCATCAATTGTAGAAATTCATTCGGAGTCATTTTCTGGCCATTCTGTAATTGCTTCATAATATTCCCCATTTATTTAATAAAACTATGTATTGAGTGGCTAAAGTGGAGTTTTGTCATAAGAATGATTGAGAGCGAGCAAAGCAGACGCTTAATTAATTAAGTGTTTAACAACGTTTAGCCACGAGATGTTTTCGCTATTTTTTTCACTTCCACTCTATTTCTACGTTGAGTACTTCGTATTTCAACTTTTTTATTATAAATCTTTGAAATTTGCTCGCAGACTACTGGTAAATGTAAGGTTATAAGCTCCACCCCATGACTAAAACCCGTGTCTAAAGTACATTAGTCATGGTCTTGGCCATCCGTGTATAAAGTACCGCATTTTGTGTTTCAAAACCGTGGAAAAAGAAAAAAATAGAAGAAAAAAAGTTTTTTTTATCAATAAAAATTTATTGAGGATTAAACATCTTAACCATAAATGCAGTAGAGGAGAGCAACACCAGCGCCCGCTAGTTCTTTAGACAACTCGACGAAGACAGCACGAGCGCATTCAGCGGCCTCGGGGAATTTACCCTCCAAATCAGCCAAGTGTTCCTCGACGATGGCGTTGACGTCTTGAACGTATTTCTGGAGGGTGGCAATGATTTCCTTGATGACAGCAGCCTGGCAGTTGAGGTCCTCACCGCAGGCCTGGAAATCAGCAACGAGTTTCTGCACAGCTTCCTTTACACCTTGGACGGCAGCAACGAGGTCTTCCTCAAGAGCAGCCAATTCCTCAGCGCAGTCCTTGGTGCATTCAACGAGTTGTTCAGCATTGCGGATGATGGCTTCATCGACGGCGGCCTCCAGGGCTGGGTAGCAGGTGGCGAGGTCACCATCAACAGATTTTAACTGCTGGTGGATGCGGTGGTTGGCAACAAGGCGACGGGGGATGTTGAAGCTTGGCGAAGCCAAAGTGGACTAAGATATTGTTATAAATAAATAATTATTGATTTAAAAAAAAATTTAAAAAATGATTTTTTGACTTACGGCAATGCACAAGGCAACGATGAGGAAAATTTTGGCCATTTTGGGAAGGTAGCTGCTGTTTCGATCGGATCGGGACAACTGTACCTTTGCTAAATCACTTGCACGTTTTTATACCGCTTGAGATCTTGATAAAAACTTATTCGGGGTCCATTGATCAAGAGCACTTTATCTATTTTTTGAGATTGACAAATTTTCTTTTAATTTTAAGCTAATTTGTAAGAAAACAATTTTGAAATTTACGCAGTTATCTGATTAGATCGTCATATACGCTGTTTTCGCGCAATCCCGAGGAGTTTCTGCGTCGTTTTGTAACTGTTGACAAAACATGGATCCACTGGTATACACCCGAGACCAAAGAACAGTCAAAACAATGGACTTCACCCGGAGAACGCGCTCCGAAAAAGGCGAAGACTGTCCCATCGGCCGGAAAGGTGATGGCTACTGTTTTCTGGGATTCAAAAGGGGTAATCTACATTGACTACCTAGAAAAGGGCAAAACAATTACAGGACTATACTATGCCCAATTATGCGCAGGCGCTTCCTCCGTCCCATCCATAATGCAAGTTCATAATGAATATTATGTACGGCTTGGCCGTCCGTGTATAAAGTACCACTTTTTGTGTCTGAAAACGGTGGAAAAACTGGCGCTTTATAAGTGGAAGTAGAAAAAAATGATTATTCTGATGTTGTTTAGGAAATATATTATTAAATATTCAAGGGATTTTAGTTTAATCATCCATTCTGGTTTTTTGGCCAGATTTACCCTGTTACTTTTCTAAAGCCAAAAAACCCAAAACGCACTTGACTGATAAGTAAAGTAATCATTTTGTATTATTTCATCAAGATTAAGAGTTATATAAAAGTGGAAGAGCTTGGATGAATTTAGTTATCTCCGACGATTTACTATCAAGTATCACAAACAAAATGGCGAAACTTTTGCTTATTCTTGCTTTGTGCCTCAGCGAAAGTCAATTTTTGCAATAAAACTAATAATTACTTATAATAATTGCTTTAATTGTTTTCAATAGTCTACTTTGGCTGTACCAAATCTCAAATTCTCCCGCAGCCATCTTGCGTTGACCCGTGTAGCCTCCCAACTTATGTCAGTTGATGCAGGCTTTGAAACGTGCTTTCAATCATTGCTTAATAATCTTATCGTTACTCTTTCGCTCAGCCACGATCAAATGATATATTGCATTGGGGACAGCGTTCAAGAACTCCTAATGCTTCAAGAAGAAATTGGTCAAATCAGCGAGGTCGCTGCATTGGACTTATACGCGATGATTCTTGACTTTGAGGATTGCGGTGATGACGAAGCCTGTAAAGTAGCCGCCATTAAAGACATGGTTGATTTGATTGAGGGATTCCTCCAGGAATTGTATGATATTGTTGATAGACATCTGACTAATTTGGCGGGTAAATTACCTGAAACTGCTGAGTGCCTTCATGTTGTCAACTTAAAATTGATTGAAGCTTTCAAAACTGCCGAAAGTGACTTTGTCGCCTGCATCAATGCATAATATGTGTAATATTTTAAATATTTTATTAAATAAAAACACTATGAATCTATAACACAATTGATTTTGATTAATAGTAGGTATATTAAGTAACAAGTGGATAAACGAGGGCATTACATTCTTTAACAACGTTTAGCCACAAGGTGCTTACGCTATTTTTTCTAATTCCACTCCTGTTCCACGTTACGGTTTTTGTATTTCAACTTCTGTATTTTAAATCATCGAAATTTGCTCGCACACTTATACAAACTGTAAGGTTATAAATGCCATGTCGCGCATAGGCCTATGTGACCCTTCGGTTCATATTGTGCTTCGTAGGCAAATGCGCAGGCGGTTGCTCCATCCCGTACATAATGCAAGTACATAATGAATATTATGTACGGCTTGGCCGTACGTATAAAAAGTTCTACTTTTTGTGTCTAAAAACCGTGGAAACTGGCGCTTTATAAGTGACAGTAGAAAAAAATTATTAATCTGATGTTGTTTAGGAAATATATAATTAAATATTGAAGGGTTTTGAGTTTAATCATCCATTCTGGTTTTTTGGCCAGATTTACCCCGTTACTTTTTAAAAGTCAAAAAACCCAAAACGCACTTGACTGATAAGTATAAGTAATCATTTTGTATTATTTCATCAAGATTAAGAGTTATATAAAAGTGAAAGAGCTTGGATGATTTTAGTTGTCTCTGACGATTTACTATCAAGTACCAAAAACAAAATAGCGAAGCTTATTTTTTGCTTTGTGCCTCAGCGTAAGTCATTTTTTTGTAATAAAACTAATAATTATTTATATTAATTACTATTTTTTTATAGTCTACATTGGCTGTGCCAAATTTTAAATTTTCCCGCAGCAGTGTTGCATTGACACGTCTAGCTTCCCAACTTAAGTCAGTTGATCATGGCTTTGAAGTATGCTTTCAACCAATGGTTCTCAATATTATTGATGCCCTTTTGACCAACTACGATCAAATGCTGGATTGCAGCCGAGACTTCACTCAGGAACTACTAGCTCTTGAGGAAGAAATTGTTCAAAGCACTGAGGTGGCCTCTTTTGAATTTTACGCTAAGCTTCGTGATTATGAAGCTAGCGGAAGTGACGAAGCCTGTAAAACAGCCGCCATGAATGATATTGTTGATTTTATTGCTGCATTCGTCCAGGAATTGAAAGATATTGTTGATAAACATCTGACTATTTTGGTGGGTAAATTACCTGAAGAAGTTGAATGCTTTAATGATATCAACTTAGCAAAACACTATAAAAACACTATTCATCTATAACACCATTAATTTTGATTAAAATTATTAATCAGATGTTGTTTAGGAAATATGTGATTAAATATTCAAGCGATTTTAGTTTAATCAGCGTGGAAATATTCCGTTATAGTTTTCTGACCGGATTTGATCTGTGAGTTGATTTTTAGATAGTCTATAGGTGAAAACGTCTGGAAATTTTGAGTGGGTGTTCCAAAAACATATTTATAAGTGATTTCCTATTGCAATGTTTGATTGAGGTTATCCAAAATCATTCTAGAAATACTTTTTAGTCAATAATATCATCATAACATCTTCATCTATTGTAGAAATATAGAGTTTTTGCCACGAGATTGATTGAGAGCGAGCGTTTAATCAATCGAGTGTTTAACATTGTTTAGTCACGTGATGCATACGCTATTATTCTACTTCCACTCTATTTTCTCGTTGATGTTTTGGTATTTGAACGTTTGTATCTTCGAAATTTGCTCGCACTGAATTTGCCTACTGAAAAATGTAAGGTTATAAATGCCATACCGCGTCGACATGAGCAGCATCAGCGCCATTAGCGAATGCTTTGATTTGTTTGACTGACGACGCATAGCATTTCATATGGTCTTGTGCTGCAACAAGAGCAAATGCACAGACGCAAGCTCCACCCTATGATTAAAACCCGTGACTAAAGTACTTTAGTCACTGCCTTGGCCATTCGGGTTTTTGTGTTTTAAAACCGTGAAAAAAGGAAAAAAATAACAGAAAAAAAGTTTTTTTATCAATAAAAATTTATTAAGGATTAAACATCTTAAGCCTTAATGCAGTTGAGGAAAGCAACACCGGCATCCTTGATTTCTCCAGACAACTGGACGAAGACAGCACGAGCGCATTCAGCGGCTTCGGGGGATTTACCCTCCAAACCGGCCAAGTGTTCCTCAACGATGGCGTTGACATCTTGAACGTATTTCTGGATGGTGGCAATGATTTCCTTGATGACAGCAGCCTTGCAGTTGAGGTCCTCACTGCAGGCCTGGAAATCAGCAACGAGTTTCTGCACAGCCTCCTCTACACCTTGGACGGCAGCAACGAGATCTTCCTCAAGAGCGGCCAATTCCTCAGCGCAGTCCTTGGTGCATTCAATGAGTTGTTCAGCATTGCGGATGATGGCATCATCGACGGCGGCCTCTAGGGCTTGGAAGCAGGTGGCGAGGTCACCATCAACAGATTTCAATTGCTGGTGGATGCGGTGGTTGGCAAACAAGGCGACGGGGGATGTTGAAGTTTGGCGAAGCCAAAGCGGACTAAGATATTGAGATAAATAAATAATTATTGATTTAAAAAATGGTTGTTTGTAAAAAGGTTTACGATGAGATTTTTGACTTACGGCAATGCACAAGGCAACGATGAGAGAAAATCTCCATTCGTTTGTATGCCGCTAGAGTGAGAGAGACGGAAGATCGGTTTGGCTATGCCTGCCTCCGCTCGTGTGGATTTCACGGAATGACTGGCAGCGCTCGAGATGAGACGGAGATCGGTCCGTCTCTCTCTCGTTATAACGAGAGGGGGTATACCTGCGATCGGCCTTGAGAGGCCTCGTGACACAAATTTCTGAACATGTCACCCAACTAAAACGATTTTAAAGACGTTATCACGTCAAAAATTAAAAAATTGTTTTTTTCACTTACGGCAATGCACAAGACAACGATGAGCAAAAGTTTGGCCAATTTGAGAAGCTAGCTGCTGTTTCGATCGGATCGGGACAACTGTACCTTTGCTAAATCACTTGCACGTTTTATACCGCTTGAGATCTTGATATACCGCTTGAGATCTATGATAAAAATTTTCCTTCCAACTTATTCGGGGTCCATTGATCAAGAGCACTTTATCTATTTTTTGAGATTGACAAATTTTCAAACCACCGAGCTTACCACTATTGACTTTTAAGGTTCGTGTCTTTGTAAGTGAAAATGTAATTTTGAAATTTACACAAGTTATCTGATTAGATCGTCATATACTAATAGCTGTTTTCGCGCAATCCCTGAGGAGTTTCTGCGTCGTTTTGTAACTGTTGACAAAACATGGATCCACTGGTATACACCCGAGACCAAAATAACAGTCAAAACAATGGACTTCACCCGGAGAACGTATATCCGAAAAAGGCGAAGACTGTCCCATCGGCCGGAAAGGTGATGGCTACTGTTTTCTGGGATTCAAAAGGGGTAATCTACATTGACTACCTAGAAAAGGGCAAAACAATTACAGGACTATACTATGCCCAATTATGCGCAGGCGCTTCCTCCGTCCCGTACATAATGCAAGTTCATAATGAATATTATGTACGGCTTGGCCGTCCGTGTATAAAGTACCACTTTTTGTGTCTGAAAACGGTGGAAAAACTGGCGCTTTATAAGTGGAAGTAGAAAAAAATGATTAATCTGATGTTGTTTAGGAAATATATGATTAAATATTCAAGGGACTTTAGTTTAATCATCCACTCTGGTTATTTGGCTAGATTTACCCCGTTACTTTTCAAAAGCCAAAAAACCCAAACGCACTTGACTGATAAGTATAAGTAATCATTTTGTATTATTTCATCAAGATTAAGAGTTATATAAAACTGGAAGAGCTTGGATAAATTTAGTTGTCTCCGACGATTTACTATCAAGTACCAGAAACAAAATGGCGAAACTTTTGCTTATTCTTGCTTTGTGCTTAAGTGTAAGTCAATTTTTGCAATAAAACTAATAATTACTTATAATAATTGCTTTAATTGTTTTCTATAGTCTACTTTTGCTGTACCAAATCTCAAATTCTCCCGCGGCCATCTTGCGTTGACACGTGTAGCCTCTCAACTTAAGTCAGTTGATTCAGGCTTTGAAACGTGCTTTGAATCATTGCTTAGTAATATTTTTGATACTCTTTCGCGCAGCCACGATCAAATGATGGATTGCAACCGGGACAGCGTTCAAGAACTCCTAATGCTTCAAGAAGAAATTGGTCAAATCAGCGAGGTTGCTGCTTTGGACTTATACGCGATGATTCTTGACTTTGAGGATTGCGGTGATGACGAAGCATGTAAAGTAGCCGCCATTAAAGACATGGTTGATTTGATTGAGGGATTTCTCCAGGAGTTGAATGATATTGTTGATAGACATCTGACTAGCTTGGCGGGTAAATTACCTGAAACTGCTGAGTGCCTTCATGTTGTCAACTTAGCGTTGATTGAAGCTTTCAAAACTGCCGAAAGTGACTTTGTCGCCTGCATCAATGCTTAATATGTGTAATATTTTAAATATTCTATCAAATAAAAACACTATGAATTTATAACACAATTGATTTTGATTAATAGTATATTAAGTAACAAGTGACTAAACGAGGGCATAACATTCTTTAGCAACGTTTAGCCGCGAGGTGCTTACACTATTTTTTCCACTTCTACTCTAGTTCCACGTTGCGGTTTTTGTATTTCAACTTTTGTATTTTAAATCATCGAAATTTGCTCGCACACTTAATAGCCCCGCACACTACAAACTTTTTATCGGCCGATATTTTGATCGGGTCGGGCTGTGAGCGCGCACACTACGCCAACTAAACAGTTGGGTTTGTGGTGAGTGCGCACACTAGACAACAGTCGGCCGACTATTTTTACTTTGTCAGCTACTGTTGAAGAGAGCGGTCGCATAATGAAAGTTATTAGTAGTACAATATTGTTCAGAAATATTATAATTGCTCTGATGCTATGGAGGAGAAAAATCCAGAAGAGAGTCCGAGAGTATTGGGTGCATCCCATCCACAGTGATAGATTATTTAATGGAAAATTTTACACGATGCATTCAAAACTACTAGAATACCCAAAAAAATTTCTTCGCATTTTATTGGATGACCATAAGTAGCTTCAAAAACTAGCGCCAAAACACGGAGCGAACTGAACGCTTGGTCGAGTGGGCCGACTAAACAATCGGTCGGTGTGCGCGCTCGCGACGAGCTCCATACTGATATCGCAGTCGACTGATAGTTGGCCTGGTTGGCCGATAGTTTAGTTTGAACGCAGTTGGGGGCTACTTATTTCAAACTTATTTATCGGCCGATACAAAATCGTTGTAGTGTGCGGGGGCTCTAAGGTTATGAATGCCATGCTGCGCATAGGCTCATGAGACGCTTCGGTTCATATCGTACTCTTCCAATACGAGCAGCAGCACTGCCTGCTTTGACGTGTTTGATTAACGTCGCATGTCACTTTTTACCGCCTTGTGCTGCTCCGTATGCAAATGCGCAGGCGCTTGCTCCATCCCGTGCATAATGCAAGTGCATATTGAATATAATGTACGGCTTGGCCCTCCGTATATAAAGTACTACTTTTTGTGTCTGAAAACCGTGGAAACTGGCGCTTTATAAATGGCAGTAGAAAAAAATTATTAATCTGATGTTGTTTAGGAAATATATAATTAAATATTCAAGGGATTTTAGTTTAATCATTCATTCTGGTTTTTCGGCCAGATTTAACCCGTTACTTTTCAAAAGCCAAAAAACCCAAAACGTACTTGACTGATAAGTAAAGTAATCATTTTGTATTATTTCATCAAGATTAAGAGTTATATAAAAGTGGAAGAGCCTGGATGAATTTAGTTGCCTCCGACGATTTCCTATCAAGTACCAGAAACAAAATGGCGAAACTTTTGCTTATTTTTGCTTTGTGCCTCAGCGTAAGTCATTTTTTTATTATAAAAATAAAAATTATTTATATTAATTACTATTTTGTTATAGTCTACATTGGCTGTGCCAAATTTCAAATTTTCCCGCAGCAGTGTAGCATTGACACGTCTAGCTTCCCAACTTAAGTCAGTTGATCATGGCTTTGAAGTATGCTTTCAACCAATGGTTCTCAATATTATTGATGCCCTTTTGACCAACTACGATCAAATGCTGGATTGCAGCCGAGACATCACTCAGGAACTGCTAACTCTTGAGGAAGAAATTGTTCAAAGCACTGAGGTGGCTTCTTTTGAATTTTACGCTAAGCTTCGTGATTATGAGGCTTGTGGAAGTGACGAAGCCTGTAAAACAGCCGCCATGAAAGATATTGTTGATTTTATTGCTGCATTCGTCCAGGAATTGAGAGATATTGTTGATAAACATCTGACTAGCTTGGCGGGTAAATTACCTGAAGGAGTTGAATGCTTTAATGATATCAACTTAGCATTGGTTGATGCTATCAAAAAGGCTGGTAGTAACTTTATGGCCTGCATCAATGAAACCGACAATGTGTAATATTTTAAATATTTTATCAAATAAAAACACTATTAATCTATAAGAGAATTAATTTTTATTAAAATTATTAATCAGATGATGTTTAGGAAATAAGTGATTAAATATTCAAGCGATTTGAGTTTAATCAGCGTGGAAATATTCCGTTTTAGTTTTTTGACCGGATTTGACCTGTGAATTGATTTTTAGACAGTCTAAAGGTGAAAACGTCTGGAAATTTTGAGTGTTTGTTCCAAAAACATATATAATAATATATAAGTGATTTCCTATTGAAATGTTTGATTGGGGTTATCCAAAATCATTCTAGAAATATTTTTGTCATCAATATTCAGATCTGCATCAATTGTAGAAATACATTTATTTAATAAAACTAAGTATTGAGTGGCTTAAGTGGAGTTTTGTCACAAGAATGATTGAGAGCATAGCAGACACTTAATTAATTGAGTGTTTAACAACGTTTAGCCACGAGATGTTTTTGCTATTTTTTTCACTTCCATTCTATTTCTACGTTGTGTACTTTGTATTTCAACTTTTGTATTATAAATCTTTGAAATTTGCTCGCAGACTATTGGTAAATGTAAGGTTATAAGCTCCACCCCATGACTAAAACCCGTGTCTAAATTACATTAGTCATGGTCTTAGCCATTCATGCTTAAAGTATCACTTTTTGTGTTTCAAAAAAAAAAGGAAAAAAATAGAAGAAAAAAGTTTTTTTATGAATAAAAATTTATTGAGGATTAAACATCTTAAGCCTTAACGCAGTTGATGAAAGCAACACCGGCGTCCTTGATTTCTCCAGACAACTGGACGAAGACGGCACGAGCGCATTCAGCGGCTTCGGGGAATTTACCCTCCAAACCGGCCAAGTGTTCCTCGACGATGGCGTTGACGTCTTGGATGTATTTCTGGAGGGTGGCAACGATTTCCTTGATGACAGCAGCCTTGCAGTTGAGGTCCGAACCGCAGGCCTGGAAATCAGCAACGAGTTTCTGCACAGCCTCCTCTACACCTTGGACGGCAGCAACGAGATCTTCCTCAAGAGCGGCCAATTCCTCAGCGCAATCCTTGGTGCATTCAACGAGTTGTTCAGCATTGCGGATGATGGCTTCATCTACGGTAGCCTCCAGGGCTTGGAAGCAGGTGGCGAGGTCACCATCAACAGATTTCAATTGCTGGTGGATGCGGTGGTTGGCAACAAGGCGACGGGGGATGTTGAAGCTTGGCGAAGCCAAAGCGGACTAAGATATTGTTATAAATAAATAATTACTGATTTAAAAAAAATTAAAAAATTGTTTTTTGACTTACGGCAATGCACAAGGCAACGATGAGCAAAAGTTTGGCCATTTTGAGAAGGTAGCTGCTGTTTCGATCGGATCGGGACAACTGTACCTTTGCTAAATCACTTGCACGTTTTTATACCGCTTGAGATCTAGATAAAAAATTATTCGGGGTCCATTGATCAAGAGCACTTTATCTATTTTTAGAGATTGACATATTTTCCTTTGATTTTAAGGTGATTTGTAAAAAAACAATTTTGAAATTTACGCACTTATCTGATTAGATCGTCATATAAATTCTCCAAGGTGAAGTTTCTCTATCAGTTGTGTTGTGAAAACATTGCAAACTATTCCAAAATGTCGAAACTTATCATCTTAGCCCTTTGCGTCGCCGTAAGTGACTTAAGTCATTAAATCCTATTTTATTTTACTTAATAATTAGTCAATTTCCAATCATTTAGTCTGCTTTGGCTGTGCCATATTCGGCAAAACTCGATGGTTCCATCATCCGCACCCTTCACCCATTGACCAACATTGCTGAGAGTCTTTCCTTGTACGACACCAACATTGCCGGATGCGTTGAGGACTTGAAGAATGGTCTGTTGGAATCTTTCAAGAAGAACGGCTTAGCTGCTCGCGCATGCGTCGCTGACTGCATTCCTGAAGTAATGCAGATCCACGAAGATGTCTGGCAGTCGCTTTTGGGTGCTAAGGCCGCCATTGAAGCCGAGTATGAAGTCTTCGCTGCTTGTGAAGATGATGAATGCCGTATGCAGTCGTTGCACAATGTCGCACAGATTGTAGCGCAGAATGTGCGTGACAATGCGCAGATCATTGAAGATGGCGTCAAGGCTATTGCTGCAGTTTATCCTGAGGCTTATGAATGCACCAAGCAGGCTTTCGTTGACTTTGGTAATGAGGTTCATGCACTTGCACAGAGCTTCCTTGACTGTGTTAAGCCTTAAGCCTTCAGTCAAATAAAATTGTATTTTTATTGCAATGAAGAAATAAAAAAACATTCTATAAACAATCCACTTGAATTTGTTTATTACGTTTGTATCCTGATAAGGTGATAAGAGGCTTATTTTTGAGTACTTATCAAAAATATTTATATATTTATAAAAATGTGTTCCTTGCGCGGTAAATAATTGGTAGTGAGTTGTAAGAGGATGGTTTTTATTTGTAAGTGTGGTTGCATATTAACATATTAAATATCAAGTGGCTAAATGGGAGTTTTAGTCACGAGTGTGCGTGTTTAACAACATTTAATTCTTTAACTTTATTTCCTCGTTAATTTTTTTGTACTTAAACTTTTTATTTTAAATCTTCAACATTCGCACGCATACTACTGAAAAATGTAAGGTTATAAATGCCGCGTCGCACCGACCTGAGCAGCGTCAGCGCAAACTTTGACTTGTTTGACTAACAGCACATAGCATTTCATATGTTCTTGTGTTGCACCGTAGGTAAATGCGTAGGCGCAAACTAAAGCCCGTGACTAAAGTACTTTACTGTCCTTGGCCATTCGTGTTTAAAATACTACTACTAAAATACTGCTGCATCGTAGGCAAATGCGCTAGCGCATACTCCACCCCGTGACTAAAGCCCGTGACTAAAGTACTTGACCGTCCTTGGCCATTCGTGTTTAAAATACTACTTTTTGTGTCTCAAAACCATGGAAAACCCCGCGTTTGTTCCTGTGCAAGTTTGATCTCTACCAAGAAAAGCCTAGAACCTGGTATCACATCAATATTATCTTATCAGTGTATGCATATCTAAAAATGCGCAATAATGACTAATATTGAATGCATCATTTATAAACTCAATTCTGACTATAGTACGAGTAGATATACAAAATTGCTACCTACATTGTGCAACATGACTAAACTACTAATTATTCTGTGCTTCTGCTTTACTGTAAGTATAAAACTTTATACATTTGAACAAGATAAATGAGCATCCTTTTCCAGGCATCCTATGCATTTGATATTAACACGCATATTAAAAGTAGCATCTTCAAAAAGCAACTAGCTTTGCAATATGACGCTGACGAGGCGCAGGTAAACGCATGCATCGATTCTTTTATAAACGAACTTATTCTGATAATAATGGTCGATGCAATGCGCGTAAGCAATTGCGTGAAAGACATCGATATGGCCGATGAGTTAAGCACATTCTTTGACACAATGGGTGAGTCATTAGTTGATGTTTTCCCGAAGATTGAGACACAATTCACGGAACTGATGCAACTTGCAATGGAGACGAATGATTTACGCGGAATTGTATCGGCAACCCGTAAATCACTCTCACTTGTGATGCAAATATACGAAGTACTTTTCCAAGAATTCGGTGCATTTATTGACAATTTGGTTGATATAATCGAAGAAGAGAATGCTGGACCTTGTGTTACAAAATCCGTAGGCAAGTTGATACTTAACTACATAGAGAAAATCCAGGAGATGCTAGAGTGTATTAAGAAACCAAAATTTCAAAAAGAGTGGAGAATGCCACGTGATCAATTGTAATCAATAAATAAATACATGTAGTAAATATATACCTGATAGTAACGCTTGTGTTTCTGGTTGTTCTTCATTGTCTGGTGTTTCCAGTGTTGTGAGCCCACAACGCGATAAAAACAGCAGACTTAGCAGGCTCACCAGACACACCAGCAGCAGGAGGCGAGTTATCAAACGCATGCCCATTGCGTGTGTGCGTCGTTTCCTGGAACGAATTCAATTTACATAAATTTCGCTGACGTTTCCATCAATATTTCAATATTAGATTTGCATTCAAGCGTAGATATTGAGATATAGTAGCAAATTGAATATTGAAATATAAGTGTCATTGTTGTGTGAACAAGAAGCATGAACAACTATTGCATTCTGCGCAAAATTGAAAGTAAAAGAACGAAAACTGTATTTTTTTTTTGGTTATGTATTGTGTGAGCGTGTGGTGCCGCCTGGTGGCGAAGAGAATCAGCTATTATGTTGATGTTAGTTGAGGTTAATGGAAATTTATGTGTTAGCTAAACCATATCGCAACACTGTGATCAGCCAATCGCGAACACAACGCACGCCGGACGCCATCAGTCGATAATAATCCGACGCATCAATTAATCGCACATTGTGCATTCGTCTCGTCATTAATCCCCAATGGCCAGATTAATCTGGATGCATACTTGATTGTAGTTACAGTAACGCTATTGTTTATCTGCTTAAAATTTTAATGTTTACTTTTATTCCAAAAATAATCACTGAAATCTTCTTCCGGTAACATTCCCTGTTGATAACCAGCTGTTCGTGTGCTTAAACCCTTTTGTTATAGGTAAACTTTGTAAAAACAACTGTAAACACGCTCGAATTTATCGCTCGCAAAAACACTCGTAACGCAGCGCAACAATAGCCGGCGGAAACAAAAAGCAATGTTTCAAAGACGAAACTTGCAACTTGAAGATAGAATTATTTACGGTGCGAGTTAATTAGTGCGCGCGCAAGCATCTGAAAAGTATTCCGCTGATGATGATGTTGATCTCAATGATGATGATGGCACGACGAGAATGCATTTCGCTTTATGTGCGCTCGCTCCATTCAAGCGGAGAGAATCGTGCACAACCACGAAGACGCGAGGAATTTTATTTACGTTATAGAGCTCTATCTTACCGACAGGACGATTCACCGTTACGTTGATCTGACGCTGTCATAGATGATCTTTATTCCTGTAACAAATAAAGAAGAACCTCATTAGAATTAAATTAAACTAAATGTGTTAATTATTCAACGTGACATTTACGACTTCAACAATACAGTTTCCTGTAATCGCAAAGATTTACGGCGTTATTATGTGTGTGTGTAATTAATTGCTTGCTGTTGCATGGTTATACCATGTGTCATATTATCTTATCAATGTCTAAATCGTAATTTAATGTCGTGATACTCAACATTAAGTTACATTAGTGATTAAATTTTTTTTCAGCGTCTTAATGATGATAATCACGCGTTGGTGTTAATTACCAATGAGCGTGCGGCACGTAAATGCTCCATTATTGCCTTATAATTAATATACGTTCATTTATTTTATGAAAATATCGCATAACCTTATTTTTAATATTTATTTCATTTTCCTGACGATAGGTGGCGTTACGTTACCACTCATATGTGTATAATGCTATTGAAATTGGTTTTCACTGAAATTGCTGTTTAGAATTTGATAGTGAACAATATGAGAAGTTGGTAAACCCTCCAGCAGCCCCCCGATGTGGTATGGGCGCTTTATTTATTCGCTAGAATGTGCCGTGCCTACTTTACATGCCGCTGCGAATACGCACATGGCGTTCGTTTGTTCGCGGCTGGAGGGCTGGAAGTATGAATGGAATTTTGGGTATTTTGCTCATTTCGGTATTAACTGCCAAACGGCGCACGCGAAATTGAGAACCAGCTGAATGGAAATTGACGCCCTGCGGCTTGATTCATCAAGAACTTCCGACATCAACAATTTCAACCAAATTGATAATAAATTATGTCGAAAAACTAACCCAATAAGATAAGTGATAAAGTGACAATAAATCAATGAGTTCAACACGTCCACGCGACGCGTTCGTCGTAAATATAAACTTTCGAGTATTTTATCTCACCGCGCAGAGGTCGGTGTTGTTTGTAATAACAGATAATTCTTTGTGAGGCACAAACGCGGCTTCGCACATTGAGTGTCCAGAGGACTACGACTATGACTCCAAGGGAGACATAAATCAATGCAACGGAACCTCAAGCACTGCTGCTCCCAGGCCTCCCTAAAGGTCGCCCTTATTTTCGGTTTTTCTTTGTCCATGCCGGCGATTCCGAGGGTTACTTACGCACGCTTACGGTTCTTTAGCCTCCGGGCTCACTTACATGAGGTGAATTCCTTCTTTTTCTTCTTTATTTTTTTTTCTTGTTTGTCGACGTTCCTAGTTTCTAGATTTGGCCGTAGTCGTAGATTACTTGTTGGCATGTTGGCAGCGTGTTTATGTTGCGGAGGCGGCTTGAGTGCTGCTGCGGTGGCGGCTACGCTACCTCCGTCTTGGAAATTTATCTTATCTTCAAACTCTCAAACGTATTTCACCACAACCACGCCGTATTTTATAAAAAACGAACAAATTAAATGATAAAAACGCTAAAAACGCCGCCATTTTGGTTTGCCGAGCAAATATTTGACGCAAATCAAAGAAAAACACACGAAATTGGTTTGTTTATCTGCGTGGAAATTAGTTCGGGTTGTAGACCTGAGAGCTTCGATTAGATTCTGTGGTTTTTGGTGATTTTGGAAGGCTTTGTTTACGCTTCCACTTCTACTTACACTTCCACTTCCGGTTCGCTAATATTCACCCTTTCGATATTCTACCACAACTTTTACTTTGTTTTTGGGCTGTTTTCATCAATATAACACGATTAATATACGTGGTAAACGTATTATGCAACTGATAACATCTTATCAATCGATTTATAAATAAACACCTACAATTAACAAGCAAGTAGTTGTCTAAAGTGCCTCATCATGAACAAATCAATCATTTTATTTGCTCTGTGCCTCGCTGTAAGTAAAATAACAAATTTTTATACATTTTAATACAATATTTAAGGTTATATCCATTAACATAACCTAAAATAATTGTTTCACCAACCTAGGCATTAACATAACCTCTAATTTTTATATTATAGGTATCGTCAGCTCAATCAATTGACAAGCAATTCATCAATCAAAAGATTCATGATTCTTTATCTCCCATCTCACGCCTAACCTCAAAATCTTCAAGTTTAAAAGAACTCGACCCGCATGTAGTTGAATGCCTTGAAGGATTCTTATCAAACGCTATTGAATACCTCGCTGAGGATATATTTGAAGGCTTGGCTTGTATTGAACACCGTATTGATGATATCCACGAACATCTCGCTGATTTAGGCGAAGCAGTAAACAAAACCTTAGAAAACGCAGTGCCTGAACTAGAAGATCATATAAATTCGATTGTGGAGTTTATTTTGACTGAAGATATACCCGGAGCTGTGGGTGCAGTGCGCAAGTTGCTGGGTTTTGTGATTATCACAGCTGGTGATGTAATTTCTGATGTAAACACGTTTGTTAACGAGGTTATTGAGATAATCAAAGAAGAAGAAGCTGAAACATGTTTGTTAGAGGCTTTTGTTGCTGGTGTAACACATCTTAACGAAGCAATTGAAAATTTAGATACTTGTATTAACACAGAATAAATAAAAGTAAAGTTTTTGATCTGTGTATATTTGGTTGTATATATTTTAGGCAGACATGAAGAAAGTGTGTGACAAGTTGCCTAAGTTACGTAAATCTTAGAAAATCATTTTTTGTTTGTTGTTGTTGTACATTATGAATTGAAGCAAAACGTCTTCGTGGACAGTTGGCGGAAAACATATCATCGTGTGAAAGGACGAAATTTGCTGTGAGTTTTTGGCGGCGGGCTGCGTGACGAGGGTGCGACGTTTCATTTAAGGATATACAAAAAAACCTTAATGCCACGTCGCAGAATCTCGCAAACTTCAAGCTTCAAGCAGAACACACTTTTTCCGGCGTAATTATATAAAAAAAAACTTTTCTCACACAAAAAATGCGCGCAGATTCATTTTGTTTGCTTTTTTTCTGTCTTATCATTATCTTATTTTATTAAATCATTCATTATTTCGTTTATTGTGTTATCTTTGAAAGGAAAAAACGTCTTTATACCTTTTGATTGTTTCGGTTCACTCACGAACGCAGCGCGCCCGCGGCCACGTGAAGTAATTCTTTCCAATTACAATTACGTGGCAAAACGTAACGCGCCGCCCCCGCTTACGAAACAAACGCAGCGGCGCAGGTCGAGAATAACCGCCTCTAACTCGCTTAACTGCTGATTCAATTATTGCTCGTTACGAAGCGAAACGGCATCAACCCAAACCCCACACCCACAAACACAGGCAGAAATCGTATCCATGGATTGTATCGTGTCCTTTTTGTCCTTTACATCTCATATTTAGATAAATATAAACGCAATATTTATCATTTTATTTTATTTTGGCCAATATTTCAAAGTGAATGTATAATTTTTAGGTTAATTCTCTTTTGTGTGGTTATGTTGCGTTAGCAGCAATAAATCAGCATCAGTCGATGCAAACAGGAATCTACCTTCGTTATATATTACCCGTGGGTGCGTTGTACCCTTGTACGAAGCGTTTAAGCCTTTGTGGTCCCTTTGAATTTCGAAAATGTGCGAGAAAACACTGCTACACATCGTATTTCATCATAAATGTCAAACATCTGCGTAACAAACAGTAAATTTATAGCTGCTTTTCTCTCATACTCATTCAACAATAGTTAATAATAATTCGTGTTTAATTTATTTATTTATACTCACAAGGTTTTAGTGTAGTGAAGAATAAAGAATATGAAATAGGAAGCCGTGTTTTCAATCTGTCTGAACCCACATGGTGACGTTTTACATTTTCTTTCAATTTTACTCCACAAGAGATGATTTTGCGGCTCGTGTGGCGTTTGTCTTTTGTTCCCCGGAGTTGATCCACGCGCACTTTGATCTCCCGACTTTAATATATCTGTGTACGTGTATGTTTTCCGCACGGATTTGCTTTGATCTTTAAAAATTCAAGTTTGCTGTCAATCCGGCGATTGAAATGTCCGTCTGCAAACAAAAATAGAATATGCCGGAATATTTTCTACCAACAGCGCCATCTGTTTACAAATAGTGTTGAGCAGTATTGACTGACAAGCAAACACAACAAATGCATCTCGTGTTTGCACAACACGTCCATCAATCGTTATCGACATCTCCATCGACAACTAAAGTTGTTACCTGGCGTGTGGCGATTATTGTGCACGCCATGTTTGAACATGAAACGACTATCAATCAATCAAAACGGAGATTAGCGGAGTGTCTTGACATAAAACACTTAACTCGCAAAATTTACACGCAAATAAAAATAAAACAAGAAAATTTTCTTTTGGTTTAATAAATAACCTTAAATTTCATTGTTATTTTAGGTTAATTTTGACTAGAAACTCAAAATTTACAAAATGCTCCTCCACCGCTATAATAACCATGGTTAGTTATTCAGGAACATGTAAATATTTACGATTGCATACCTGGTTAGCTCTGCATAATAAAATGAATGCATGTTTGCGTACAGCGCGTCAGAATTGAGAAGTGCAAGCGTAGTGCACGTCAAAATAAACAGACAACGCCCCGGCTCCTCCACCAAAAGTGCCCCGCATCTAAAAAAGCCGTGTATATGTATGTATATATCGTATATATTTTATATTGCGCTGTAGCTCGGACAAGAATAGAATAGGTCGAGATGGAATTGCGCTGAATTTAGTTTCTGGGTTGTTTCCTCAGCATGCCAAAGTGAATTTCGTGTTGTCATCGTCGAGTCTGGACGATACAGGCGTAGGAGTATTCTTTGCTCAGTCGTATAAAGTTTATGGATTCTTTATGACTGCCAAACTTCAATGCAAGTGCATCAACTAGGCAAACATTTCCGGCTGTGACTCCTAAATAATCTAAAACTAGTTTAGTTTAGGTTTATATTTTTATTTTTATTTATTTTTTTACCCGGTAGAGGAGAGTTTTCGAATTTTCTCCTGGAATATAAATGAAATATGTTTATTGAGGTAGGTCACGTCATGCAAGCGCATCTTGTACGTTTTTCTTTGTGTGTAACATCGAGATTTTTGTTTTTGTTTTGTCTTGTTGGTTGTTTTTTTATTTATTGTGTTTAGCATTTTTGTATCTTTATTGCATTAGTAGCAGCACGAACAAAACGAATGCATCACGCGATTGTGACACGTTGCACGACGTGTGTTCCGCATATAAATATTCAACACATCTAACAAATGCGCATAAAAATCGTATTTATTAAAATGTTGCGAGTGCAACTCGAGCGCAAACGGTGTTTTCTGGTATTTTTTTAGTTGTATTCATGTATATTATGTGTGCATTATGCAGAATTTAATTTATATTGTTAGTGTATAAATATATATTATTTTTTTAATATATTAACACTAGTTGCGGTTGTGGACAAGTTGTGGACACTGTGTTCTTTTTGTCATGTATTTGTTTTTGTTAATTTTTATTTTCTGAATTTTAATATTCAGTCTTATAGAGAATTTTCCAAGGATTTAGAATCTTTAAATTGTTGCTTTCTATAGTTTTTAGTTTACGAGATATTTGAAATTGAAAAAACTAGAAAAAAAAACTGAAAAAGTGCTCAAAGTAGCTTTTAATCACGATTTTTGAACTTTTACCCCACAAAAATTATATAGGTTATTATTTTGTCTAATAAGGAATTCTCAAAACTTTCATATTCTTTAATTTGCTGGTTGTTAGAGCTTTTAGTATACGAGATAATCATAAATAAAATATCAAAAAATAAAACATAAAAACAGTATTTTACATTTTTTTCCCTAAAACATAAGAAAATAGTACGAATTATTTGTAATTATACAGAAATTATTTTGATTTACTAACAAATATATATTGAAAATTACAATCAGAGATAACAAATATTGCTGTTATTAGCAATCAAAATAAATAAAATCAAAACAGTGCATTTTTTGTTTCAACTGATATAAACAACAAACTAATTTATAAAAACAAACAAAATTTAGTTCACATATAGAAAATTAATTGATTACAAAGTGTACAATATTTCAATAAATTATTCCATGTAGTTTAAAAGTTATGGACTATTAAAATTTAATATTAACTCATACTTTTTTTTTTCGTTTGAATTTGAAACACATTTGTCACTTTAAAATGTACACCACACGCACATAAATTATACTTGAATGCTGTGCATTGTACATTTACAACCCTAAAGTCGTGTCTTGGCTACCTTCAAACCATGAAGCATGAATAAATAATAATCAAACAGCAAACAAACAAAAATTTGCTACAAAAAATCGATTTTAATCAACGAATATTTCAATGCATACAAAAATGAAATAGCAAAACACAGCGTTGTTAAAAAAAGTCATTAAATGCAAACCCATCAACAACAAAAGCGCACATAGACAACATGCTGAAATAATGATGCCTGGAAAAAAATCCACAATCACTAAAATTTCTAGAACAAAGCGTCGCTTTTTCAATGTTTTTTTTTCTACAATTTAAGCACATTTGAGCTATATCTCTTTTTTTTTGTTGTTTCAAGTAAATAAATTGATTCCGGGAGTCGCCGGCTATAAAAACGTATCAATTAAAACTTTTTGCATGCAATGGCCTGTGTGTGCTGCGCAATGCAATATAATAAATTGCTTGAATTTGCACATGAAGGGGTGATTTGTACAACAATAAAATATTGCGAATTTATGGACTGTGCAAATATGCTGCGCAAACCGCGCGCTATTTGTCTGTTTGAGTTTCAATAATTTCCGCAAATTGCACCGCACCGACAGATGTTATGTAATGCATTTTAATTGCTCTCAAATCAAATGCAAAAAGTTTTGAAAAATTTATTTCCATACGTGTAGCAGAGGATTAATTAGAAAGCGTACTTTGTGTCAAAGTTCACGAGCAAGTGTACGAGTCTACTTGTAGTTGCCTTCGGCGTCTATCTGTAATTTTCGTTACTTCCACCCTGTCTACTACCGCCTCCACAGCCGCCACTTTCCTATACTTATTCATCCATGCACCCGGAGGGCTTTGCGCTTCCATGCGACTTTCATGATTTAATCACTTTCGTGCTCAAGCGGCGCACACTCCGAAAATATCCAATGATACGTGCGGAATATGTGCGTGATATATTAAAATTAAATTAAAAGTATTCGTAGACCGTGTACGCCGGCAAGAATAGAGACGCTGCTGCGCTCGTATCTTGACAGTTTGAAGAAGTGGATGTAGTAGTGGAAGATGTCATGGGAATTCCTAGATTTCCCATTTACTTCACGAAAGCAGGCTGGGAAGTGTCTTGTAATGAAAGAGACAAAATAAGAAGATGCTGTGGGAGATGTGGGAGATGTGCGAAAGGAGAAAGGATTTAATCAATTTCATGGATAGGTGAATTTAATAAAGTTAGCACTCGGCGTAATTTAACTCAAAATTGATTTTAGGTAAAGTTTATTAGTTTATAACTTGGAAATTAAGTGAGTTATGTATTTCAAATTTTGTACATATAATTAATAACTAATTAACTCTCATTTTGCTGAATTTGATTAATTTTTATTGATTATTTCGTGCATAATTATTGCGAAATCAAACGTTTACGAGTACATGAGCAAAAATCAAAAAATTACATTTTTTAGCACTTTTAGTGGCATGTTTGGAACTTTAACTCCAGGAAATATAATTATATAATATTTTTATCTAATAAATTTTTTGTTTATTTACTCGAATATGACAAGAACGTTGATTTTTCCTTGTTTAATTAATTATATTGCAATTAATTGCAATTGTATAGTTGAGTCTCAGTCGGTTTACCGCAGCGATAGAAGTGACTCGTGTTCAGGGCACCGTACGAAGGTAGCGGTAGAAGTGACTCGTGTTCAGGGCAACGTACGGGGGTAGCGGTATATGCGACTCGTGTTCAGGGCACCGTACAAGGGTAGCGGTAGAAGTGACTCGTGTTCAGGGCACCGTACGAGGGTAGCGGTAGAAGTGACTCGTGTTCAGGGCGCCGTACGAAGGTAGCGGTAGAAGTGACTCGTGTTCAGGGCAACGTACGAGGGTAGCGGTAGAAATGACTCGTGTTCAGGGCACCGCACGTGGATGATTATTTAGCTGACTCCCCCTTGCCCATTTTTTCCTATAAATTAAAACTTCATTTCTTAGATTTCCAATTTTTCTGTCTTATTTTATAGAGAATTGTCCATAGATTAAGACTCGGCGATTTGTTCCTTACTATCACTATCACATTGAAGTTTTTAATCATTATAATACGTCCTAGACTCTTGACAATGTGTTAATTTTGTGTAAAAGTTGATCATGGAAGGAAATATCACTTTACCTGGAAACCATATTTCTAGTACCAAATCGCAACATCTTGTGCTCATATGATACTTAAAAGTTCCTCAATAACTTACGCTTCTTCCCGACTCTTTCAACCTTTTACAAGTGATCGAAAAATGGCTTACCAATCAACATTATTTTCACATTTTAAAACGTTGGCTTAGATAACAGTCTGTATCTCGTGAACTAATTCACATTTTGTGCGTTTCTAAAGGTCATGTTATAGTTTAGGAGACGCTCTACATGTTAATTGACAATATGTACTGCATACAAAAGTGGAAACACGTGGAAATTAAAATTAATTATTGATTATAATAGTCTAAATTGTGGGACTAGTATCTGTCACATTCATAGATGGCACTGGGATGCACTAAAGGTCATTAAATTGAGTTATACGGCTTATTTCTATATTCATCGACAAACGTGGGCACGTGAATAATTTTGTATAAAATGCTGTTATCTGCGATTCGGTGTAAACCACGTTTTTAACGCATGCACGAAGTATAGATATAAGGAGTCCGAACGGTATAGGCTTTTTCGTCGTAGTCATGGTGCACAATTATATACGAAGCTAATAGTTCTCTTTTCTGCCACTGGCTGCGCATGGTTTGCGAGTGAATCGATGTACGTTGGTTCGTGTTCATAGCAACATTGAGGCAATTTGTTTACATGACGTT